CATACAGATATAAATGAAATAACCTTATATTCCTACCTTCACAACATTTCACCTACAACAGTGGCCGCTACCATCACCAGTATCAGTATAGGCATTATATAGTTTTTTTAATATATTTGTTTAAATCTGTATAGATTTTCCTGATTTTTCCCTTTTATTGGGAAAACTCCTAATAAAATCAAAAAATTACCTTTTAAGTACTTTCCCCGTCAGATTTCCTTTCAAAAAAAGTGCTATTATTTTAAATCGGAGAGAATTTGCTGGTAGAAAAGTTGTACACAGAAAAAAAAAGCCATAATATGTTTTTACTAATACCTACATTTTGTACATTTTCTGTTTTTCCGACATTTTATTCTGGTTTTTCTCAGATATTTTGAAAATCGCTTGAAAAATCAAAAAACAACTTCTTTAAATTACCATGGAGATAAAATTTCCTTTCAGAAAATAAGGTACACTTAATACATCGGAACAAGATTTCTGATAGAAAAATGTGCACAACAAATCGAGAGGTATTTAGTGGTTAAAATAGTCCGAGGGAGCGATAGCTTGGGTCTCTAAATGCATCCAAAATGTATTTGATTTTTCCTTGTTTAGGTAAAAGAGAAAAACAATTTTTCTTCGACACACTGATTTGAATTTGGAACTTCTAGGATCCATCAGCATCCACAGGATGATAATAAGCATAAATAACCATTAGATCACGACAAATTTACTTTAAGAAGGACAATATAGAGTTATTTAACATAACATATAATATCAGAACTTCAAAAAGCTATAATTTTGAACTTATTCAGTCCGCTTAATTCTGATTTCACCGTCGTCCTTAAATCGGCAATATACATATATTCAAAAAAAAAAAAAAAAAATTGAAAAATTAGATTTGTTCCATGACAATTTTTCGTCGAAAATCCCTTGTAAAAATGTATTGTAAAATCCCTTTACTAAATTAACTCAATGTTTTTTTTTACCACAAAGTAAGACCTTTAATGAACCTTCAGTTAACTTTTGAAACATTTCTGTTCGAGTCCAACAATTTTACTACAGAGTAACTACCAAATAAATATTACGTATAAAACTCTCAAAATTAAAATATCTATAAATACCTCAAAAATGTCTTAAAATTTTTGAAAATGTTACCACGTCTATAAAAGGCTGTATAAGTTTTATGTCCGAATTTTTAGTTTTTACGAATATTTCTAATTGAATTACAACAAATAACAAAATTGAAAAATATTAAAATCATTATTTTTGTAAATTACCCGTTTTTCTTACGGTTTATCCTGGTTTTTCCCAGATATTATGAAACCTGATTGAAAAATCAAAAAATGACCCCCCAAAAGTACCATCTGGATAACATGCCTTTTCAGAAATGGTGCCACACATATAAATCTGAGCAAGATTTTTGGTAGAATTTTTGATGGGAGTTATGGAATACTTCAACTATTAAGCATTAAAAATAAACAAACATTGAAATAATCAATAAATTTATAAGTTATTAATATATAAATTAATATAGAGAATAGCAGTGAAACAGTTACAATTTTAAAATTTTGTATTATAATTGTAAAAGGTTATGTGATTTGTAACTTAATAACATGTATCTATATAAGAATTATATAGATTTATAATCTATTTTATATTATAATATGATTTTATTCAAACATTATTTATTTTTATAATGTTGGGAATGTGGGGCCTCCATTGGTCTTTGCAACCTTTAGTAATTTTTGCAACTCTTGAAATTCCGCCCAAATTATGTTACTGGACAATACAATATTTTCAAATAAACTAAGCGAGTTCAATATTTATTTATTTAATATAATGGAATCAAATATTACCATTCATTGAAGCCATCGTCTCATTGAACAGGTAACCTTCAAACCGAGATGTAGCTGCTGTGAAGATGTCCTGGCCCTGACAACTTACATTGATGAAGAATATGAAAAACCAAATAAAATAGTAGCAGTATTCATCAACCTAACAGTAACATATGTTATTTTGTAGCATGAAAGTCTATTTTATTAATTTATGCAAGTCATCCCGAGCAGGACACTATCATGCCTACTGAAAAATATGTGAAGTAACTAAAAATAAGTAGTTCACACATACTACTTCAAAAGCAGAAAATAAACACTGAGTACTGGTCTTCATTAGGGTTCTGTTCTGGTACCATTGCTCTTCAATCTATGTATAAGTGACATCTTCGCATTGACTTCCAAAAAATGTATTTAAACTGATTACATTTTTATTCCCAGGAGACTAAACTTTATAATTGTGAATCTATACTGAACAATGACTTACAAACTTTAGATAACTACTTCAAAATCTAGAACCTAAGGTCAAATCCTGGTGAAATTTTCTGCATTTCACCTAAATAGTTAGCTAGCCAATGTCAAACTAAATATTACTTTCAGCGATTTTAATATAATGAAATAATTTTTTTTCTGTGTGTTGAAGTCATAAAGATAAAAAATATGACACATTGATTTTAATACATTATTATATTTATATAAATACATATACATAATTCAATTTTTAAATTTTATTTTATTATTTTGGTTATAATGATAATCAATTAATATGACTAATTTTAAATAGTCCCTCGAATGTCATTATAAATGATTTCTATTGTATGTATCATTTATAATCATTAGTTAGAACATAGGAATAAGCAAATATTTCCAAGAAAATAAAAATAAAAAAATATTAAATCGGATCACTTATTGAATTATGAGTTTTTCTTATAAAACATGTTCTTTTTCCAATATTCTGTTTAATCAGTCAGGATTTGTAACTCAAATATACTGTTAAATAAATTAAATAGTTTTTATTTATTGATAATTAATATAATATGACTAATTTTATTTTATAATTAGATAATATTAATTTAAAATGTTTAAGAAAAAAAAATATAGTAATAAAAATAATAAATATATATAAATATTATTATATAAGATTAAAATAGCATAATATACTTTCCAATGGTGCCTAAATAATACTAATTATATAATAATAAATGAATAAATAAATAAAATATATAAATATAAAGTTTACAAGTTTTTATTAAACTTGAAAAATTAATGTCCAATTAAATATTAACTATATAAATTGCACAAAGGTTAGATTGATGTTTGAAATATGTGTAGATTACTTCTACTTTGGAATTAGTTATTAATAATACATAGGTAAATATTTTGTTATATTATTAAACTGTTTCTATTTGTCAATTAAACACAATATTATAACTAGTATCTTGTTGCAAATTTTAAAAACAAACATTTATTAAAACCAAACATTTTTTAATTTTAAAAGGTTGTAGTAAAAAAAATGGTTTTGGTGGTTAATACAAAACAATAAATATATATTTCAAATATTAATATACTAATGTGTATAAAAGTGCATAGAAAATTAAATAAATATACAAGAAAAAAATAACTTGATGGAGTTGTTTATATTTACATGTTTCAGTTTCAATAATAATCAGGTAATATCAATAGTGTTCTAAGAATATTTTAAACCCTACACAAAGTATTAACAAATTACCCAATATAACATCCCCAATTCCTTTCTGCTTTCACATATTTCTAGGGTCAAGTAAATGTATTAGTTGTTAATCTGAAAAATGGAGAATATATAAAATGAACTAACCAGAAAATTTACCAACTATTCTAGAAACTCGTTATTAGATTTCAAGAAAATAAATGTTTAACCAGGAAAATGAATGATAAAGGCCCTTCTGGACCTTAGACAAACATGGGTTGACAGGGTGACATCAAATCTTGCCTGAAATCTCCCAAAAAACAGTAAAAATGACTGTGAAAAGCTCCAAAATCTGAGAAGGAAGAAATATTATCAGAAATGTATATTAATTAAAATTTGTTTTATTTTTTAAAGGCTTATTGTGAATAGATTAAAATTCAATTTTTGTATTCTATTATATTTACCTATATTATTACATTACAAGATAATAATAATAATAAAAAAAACAAAATTTCTTTAGTAACTATATGTTTATTAATCTAAAATAATTAAAACTCCTTAAAAAGCTAATTGAACTTATGCCTAGAACTAAATTTTTTTTATTTTTTATTAACTACATATTTTATAATTCAACTAAATTCAAAAATAATAAATAAATAAAGGGCCATAACAAAAATTTGTTATCAGAAAATAATATAACTCACTCCTTTATACTATGGATAAATAGAATTGACTGAGCTAACAAACATCCATATATGTATACAAATCAGCTCTGCCATTTATTCAGCACATACAATTTTGGGGCAGGAAACAAACAGGAGAGGGGAAGTCAATGATAAAGTTGTGGGGAAAATTCTCACTCTCAAAGATAGCAAAACTTCAGTTGAGGTAAATATAGAGGAATTGATAAACATAAAGAAGAAAACAATGGGTTATAAAAAAAACCCATCCCTCAAATAACCCTCAAAATTTGAGATTATGCACAATTTGTTTTTGATGAAATTTTAACTTATAACCAATAAAAATATTAAAATATGTGTCTTTTGTATAAATATGTATTTAACCCATTTCAACTGTATAGTAACATAGATAGATCTATTTTTAGAATCATATATTGTATTGGGATTTAACTGATTGGGACAGAAACGGTGTATTTTATTATTTTTAGTGGTTATAAGTTAAAATTTCATCAAAAACAAATTACGCATAAACTCAAATTTACTCAAACTTAATCAATTTTAAATTTAAAAAAAAACTTATTATACAAAAATTGTTTAAAAACAAATTATCCAAATCTGAAAAAAAAAAATGGTGTTGTAATTTGTATTGTTTCCGAATGTTACTGTGTAATGATCATTTTAATAAAAATTAATTTCATGTTATTTTTAAATGAGAATATGAAATTTAATTGTACTTAAACCTATTTGTATTATACTACCATTCAATCGTAATATCAAAACCCAGACAATGAGTGGCTCCTTTTGTTATACATTTGTCTCATGTAATTTTAAATGGTAATAAGAAATTTGATTGTACTTTAATTCGTTTTTCATTTTCTAGAATATGATTCTGATTTTATTTTTTAATTCTTAAGGTTTTATAATCTCAACCCAAGTTAAAACTTATATTATATTGCATTGTCTGTATTTTTAAAAACACATTTTAATTTTAATTTTTTGTATTGCATTTTAACTTTTAAGTAACAAGAAGGAACAAAATAATAGTTTATAGTTATCATAAGAAAACCATTTACTGATACTATTATACTAATGATAATCTAATATCATGTTTTAATATTTTATGAGTAAGTAATAAGATAAATTGAAAGAATTATATACATGACAAAATAGCAAGTATGAAAGAATGTCTATACAATGTCTTAGCCTTTGAGCGTACTTTGTGTTAAATATACTATTATGTATATTAATATATGAATTATTTCTCAGTCTTTTCCAAATACTCATTCCAAACTACTTTGGTGTCAGGTCTTTGAATTTTATACCTTCCAATTTCTTCTACTGTACAAGAAGTTCCAGTTACGTCCAGCGTCGTTAAAAATGGATATTTTTCGGCTGCATCCTTCATAAACACATCAGTTACTTTTGGATAGTTGCGTACATATAGAGTTTCCAATTGACATTTATCAGCATCATAATCTCTGTATTCTCTATGATAAAAGAATATAATTTTTATGAATCCTTAAATTATATATACAATGTTCAAAATGATGTAATTTTATAATAATATATGCACACATAGATTTATATTATTGACACCATAAAAATACTTTTCTTTTGTTACATCATAATTTTGTTAGTTTTACACTAAAATACAAATACTCGGGCTTCAATAAATTATATTGTAAATGCCAATTTTTTTTAATTTTTTCCTGAGAAGATTAAAAATCTTAATGAAAAATTTTATCTGATTTTCTTTCAGGAGAGCATATTGTATAAATATTGCATAATTCCATTTTGAAAAAAAATTAGATTTATATTATCACCCTATAATCACTAGAAAAAATAACTTTTTATTTGTTTACTTTTCTGAATTTTTAAATTTACTGATTTGTAATAGATATTAGTCCAACATATATACATAACCGATGAATAGTTTCTTAGTAATAACAATTTTAATTTCTAAAAAAGAGGTGTGAAAAAGTTGTATTCAATAGACTACTATATTATGCAATAAAAAATCACAATCATAATATAGGTATTAAAACTGTCAACTGATGACAATAAACTTTTTATAATAAATTGGTTTGCATTTTATTCTGTACCTATTAAAATTATATTTAATTACAAATAAAATTGCTACTACTAAGAAACTATTAATTGGATATTAATGTATGGTACAATCAAATTTGTATTTCCTATAACATTATGTATTTTTTTTCAATTCCCAACAACTCATTGAATAATGTGAGTAAAACAAAAACACATTCAATTTTTACAATTTCTTAGAATTGAAAATTTTTTTAAATTAAGAAAACTCATTTTTGGGTTTTGCACTCTTTAGAAACCATCTCGGTTACAACAAATTTTCCAAATTATTGAAAAGTAATATTTATTTTTGATAATTTTGAGTAAAATAGATTTTAGCTTTTTTCAGTCATAACATTACTGTATCTTATATATAATATTTTACCCTTATTCCAAACATCATAAATACATATCAGCTTTTAGTTTTCTAATAGTCATTATTTCAAACCAGTTTTGAAAACGGAATATTTTTGTAAACATTTTTATATGCATAACAATTAATAATACGTCCGTTTATGAATTATAATAGTTTAAACTAGTTTAGAACAGAGTAATAAGGAAGGGTTATCATTTAAAAATTAATATCAAATTTATTGCAATATCTAAGTTTTTGGAAAAATATTTTAACTTCAATCAGGTTTGTTATTTGAAAATCAAAAGTTGATATATTTATAGTACAAAATATAGAAGTACGAAACGATGATCAAATTTTCAAAATATTAGAAACAATATAAACTGACTGAAAAAAAAAATCAATTTCCCAGAAAATCTTTGTGGACAATCACTGGATCATAATAAAATAGTTACTCTGTATGCACTTTTTATCTATTTGTTAATTTTAAAGTTTTGTTCAACTTAATTGTATTTTATACATTTATTATTATTACTTATTGTATATAATATTATAATAGTTCAATTGCCAAGCTGAAATGTGTTAACATAAATTTTAAATATAACCCATTAAATAAAATATGATTAAAACAAATACTGTGAAATTTACAAAAATAATTATTTTTTAAATATAGTGAACAATAGTTTCAATTGAAAAATTGTTGACAGAGTTTCACATCAAAAGCAAAGTTTACCTGTCTACTATTCTCATCTGAAGTTGACCCTCATGATCAGGTACCATTTGAACAGGTATTGGATCAAATATATAATAATTGTTATTGCAGAATCCTGACAAACCCAAATCAGTAATTGTTGTATCACCCTCATGGTTAAAATTTAATGGACTTTCCAAAAAAATATGTTTCAAAGTACTTAATTTTTGAAAACATATAAGTTCATGGTCAGTAATTGGGGTCAATCGCAAGTCAAGTGACTGAAAAATAAAAATGTCATAATAAACAAATATTAAATTATTGTTTTTTAGATAAAATAATATAAATAAATTTAATATTTCGATGAAAAATAAATGAATCTAAACATTCTATTAATGGTAATTTATAGAATATTTATTTAATATTTTGAAATACTAAATAGAACTAGATGTTATAACAATATAGTTAATTTCAACTTCCAAACAAGGTAAAACTACGTAGAAACAATAAAAGTTAAAGAAAAAAACTGAAAAATTTATAGCGTTACAATTTCATTATTTCAAATTTGTATGCCGTATGTGTTTTACAGGAAATATTGTTTCAATCAAAAAATGAACAAAAGACTTTTTTTGTTGGTTAGTGTTTTGATTTTCCAACCAGTTTTCATGATAATTAGGGGCTATCTCCCAATATATAGTCTACTGATGTTTTGTTTTACTAGATATGATATAGACATCATTGATATTAACATATTATTCATTATTTTTAAGTCAATTTGTAAATTTTATATTTGTATTTCCCAGTGTGTATAAAATAAATAGATAAAATAAAGGCTATTAGATAATCTATGTCGCTGATGATATACAAACTGTGCCATGAGTGTACTGAAGGCATAAAAACTGGTTTAGTGTCATCTGTAGAGTATAGTAAATTATTATTTTAAGGCAATTTTTTAAAATGCTTTAAAAGAATCTTATAATTTTTGTTGACTGAAGAATCCACAGTTAAATACCTGCAAGATTATGCCCTGTAACCTTATGCAATATAATGCCACAAATGTGAAGTAAAACTAAAAAAAGTGATAAAGGGAAATTACAAGTTTTTTTTTTATAAATGTATTAAAATAAATACATTTTTTTTTTTAAACTGAAAATCAACTAGTTATATTTGTTTATAAAATGTAGGTAGACCATAAATTATAGTATAATTTTTATTACGGTAGGCCACGTTTATTGGTAGACCGTATATACACATTTAAGGCAGACCACATATTAAGATACCTTAATTGAGAACAATTTAGGATTTTGGATTTTTGTTAAAAATCCATTAAAAATTATAGAAAGAAGCTGATATTTTCACAGAATATTTATATTAGCTTTACCAATAAGTACATTGCTATGCTTAGAATCTAAAACAAATTGTAATCAAAACAACAAAATTTAATATTATAATAGTTCTCTTATTATAGTGCAGTTGTAAATTTCTTCACAAAAATATATATTCTAATATAAACAATCAAATTTATAGAAATTTAAATATTAAAAAATTAAATACATTTTTGTTGCCTACCATAAAAATTAATTTAAATTTTTGTCAGAGTAGATATGTAAAACAAGGAGTCTACACAGAAAATTTAATATCTTTCTAGTTACCAGAAACATTCTTATACCTAAAATATTATTAACCTCCAAAATTGAAATAGTTTAACTTTTTCAAATTTGATTATGAAACAAGCATCCAAGTTTGAAGTTTTAACATTTAGATATTAGCTAAATATCACATCCTACATAATAATAATGATAGGTATATCACTAACCTGTAAAGATTTAAATCCAGTCATAGCAGTAATACTAACATATGGAATACAATCCATAAACTGGCTACAACCTTGAAGACTTAAGTAAGTTAATTTTTCCAATTTGGCCAACGCATACAAGCCATGTGGTCGAAACCAATTGTTAAATGTCATTTTAACATTCTATATTTAAACAAAGAATCACTCATAATTACTGTTTGTCTAAATAAATTATATTTAAAAATTTAGTAAGCATAGGTAAAAATGATAAAAAAATATAACATTTACCTCAAGATCCGGACAAGCATGGTTTAAACCACATATAAATGATGCATTATTTGGAATGTTTTTAATACACGAATTTTCAATTGTTAGAGATTTTAATTTTCGGTGAAAACTTCTTATAGGTATCTGTAAACAATAATAATAAAAAAAAAAGGGAATATGCTTCAATTACCTAAACAAATTGAATAGATGTACTTACTTCACTAGCAAAAAATATTTGGTTCGATAAACTAAGATGTGTTAATTTTGGGCATCTATTTTCTAACTGCATTATGAATTTGCGTGAAACTGTAGAACTTTCACTTAGAACTTTATTACCATTGATGGTTAAACTAGTGGTGGTACTTTGTAAATAATCCAAATAAATATTTTCCATAGATTTTTTAAAGTTATGCAAATGAACGTTTTTCCATAATGTCCAATCTTTACTTATTCTTGATAATTTTGGATTTACTCTATATGAATAAAAATAAATTTAACTAATTTATAGTAGGTACCTACATGTAAATTTCACTTTTTTACACTCACAATGCCATATTCGCAAGGGTATCATTTGAAAGAAACTTGAATATTTGCAAGATAATATCGTCACATAAATCTCCAATACCGACTATTTCATTTTCATGGTTCGTCACGGCTTGTGACGTTGTCAGCTCGTGAGCCACTTTGGATTTTTTTGGGTCATCCGGACGTATGTCATCATTTTCATTATCCAAAGGTCTCTTCTTAGTATTATCCATGTTATATAAACGACAAAAGTACAACTTTGGCTAAATGAGATAACAAATAAACAAATAACTAAATCAATAAATCTACCTATTTAAAATAAAACAAAAAATTACACATAAATATATGTATAATAATAATAATATACATAATTCCCAACTAATTCGAGTATTAAAACAAAAATGGACATTAGACAGTTCCAAAAAACAAAATTGGTCATTCATACAAATCAGAATGATATTTGGAGCAGTACAATACTGAAAGTATCGACCGAATAAAATGAAAACAATTACGCACACAACATCGCCACAGAAAAATAATAATAATAATTACATTTAGAAGAAGCTATTATAGGTACAATAAATTAAAATCGCCCTATCTATCTCAAAAGTACGACTTACGAGTACAATTATCCCGTCGCCCGTCGGATATTATTTGAAAAATTGGATTTTGTTACCACAACACACAGAACGTAACAATAACTTTCTGTAAGTAGAAAAGTACTATGAACAATACACAATAGTGCATAAATAAGTTTTAAGCCCAAAGGAATGTTAAATAAAACTTAAAATTCGCTTATCACTGCGCATCTTCCACAAACATGAAAAAAAATACCTGCACTTTGAACGCTTCTGATTGGGCGTTACGTCACAATATCCAGCCAGAGCAATACACAAATAATGAAACATTATGGCGATATAAATATCGTAGTTATCGTAGCCAAATAGTATCCAAATCGTATTAATAGTATTATATAATAAATTATTATCTTAGTACGTGGTTATAATCTATACAATTATAAAATAATAATAATAATAATAATAACAAAAATAATGGTATTGATAATGGTAGTGTATGATATCACATACAAGGATACTATATAAAACCCATACCCAGCCCATATCCATACCCTACCAATAACTTGTATTTTTATAAACCTACGTATTTAGAAATTTTACTATCTGCGTCGTGTCGATACATTTTTATCGATAAACTCGTCTGTACCGTAAATAGAATTGATAATGGACAGCTATTTATATAAATAATATAAATATTTAATTTAATATTGGTACAATGGTTTCCAAAATTGCGAGAACATTGATGTTTGGGCGGTAGCTAAGTATAGATGCGCAGAAATGCACGATAGGAAGTCAACTAAAGAGCATTAAAAAAAAAAAATTGTTGATAGTGCGGCACTGTAAACCGATCGAGGACCGAGGTAGTCAACTTTGAAGTCTACTAAAAAGTTATTAATATTATTTTTAAGCTAATATGTCTTCTTTTTTCTTCTTTTCTGTCGCAGTTCGCCTATATCCCAACTATATAGAGACGGTCACCTTAGTTAATTTTATAAAATATTAACATTTTCGAATTAAAAATAAATAATACTACAATTAAAAGTATATAAACTTCTTTGTTATAAGAGTATGGAAGTGTACAACCTTAAACCTCTTCCCCAAATATTTTTTTTTTTAACGCACCTGGTTGATGGTACATCCGAATGTATCAATGTATAATACAAGATTTTTAAGGAAGAAAATCGATGTATTGATTGTACTGCGATGTATTATATTCTAAGTGGAACGAAGAAACATAGTTTTACAAAGATGTTTATTTTTTTCTGTGCGCAACTTTTCTACTAGAAGATTTGCTCGGATTTCTACGTATAGCATCTTTTCTAAAAGAAAATTGGCGTGAAGAGTTACTTTAGAAAACTAATTTTTCGATTTTTTCAAGAGTTTTCTTATCAAATTCAAAAAATTGAAAAAAAAAAAATGGAAAATTTACGAATTATAATAAATATAATTTACGATTTTTTTTTTCGTGCACAACTTTTTTAAGCAATTTTTCTCCAACTTATAATGATAGCTATGTTTCCAAAAGGAAATTTCACTAGTGAGGTACTTTGGAAAGATCATTTTTTGGTTTTCGCAAATTTTTGCAGTTTTTCCAGCAAATGTGAATAACCGGCATAAAACATGGGAAAATCGGGAAAATCGTAGGAAAATTTGAAAAATCAGTACAACATTAAACAAATATTATTAAAGAAAATGTATAAAGCCTATTTGATTATTTAACTATAAAATGACATATCTATACTGTTGACAAAGCATCACTATCAATTGAACTCCGCTCAGAATCGTTTTTTTTCTAGCAATAGTTTATCGTTGCTCACAATATATCGTTTCTTATATATATATATATTCAATTTCCGTCTATATCTTAGCTTCCTAACTTCTCATCTACATCAGTGGCTGCACCCGTCCCCATTATCTTACCTTTCTTTATTTTCTCTCTGTGAACAAATTTGCTATCAAAAATCTTACTTTAATAAAAAAATATCGGTTAATCGTGCTTACGGATATAAATTAAATAATCTTAAGTGTCTTACCTTTTAAACTTCCCACCTACAACAGTAGCTTCAACCATCCCCTGTATCATCTCTTTTTTATAAAAAAAACTAGTAATTTTTTTAGGAGCCTCCCAAAAAATTTAACTCTGGATTCGCCACCTGCTCAACATCACGCAGTAGATGCCCAATACCACAGGGATCCTGGAAATATTTTCGCGGATTCATTCTAAAATGGAAAACAATGATTTTATTTTTCTCTAACCTTAACTAATATTATTTTTATTCAATACCTAATTATAATATTCATATATCTATTCGAACTGACAGCTACGCGTAAAACAAATTAAATAAATAAATACAAAATTCTGACTCTTTCATCTCTTCCCCCCCCCCCCAAAAAAAAAAAAATAAAATAATTTTTTTAAAAAATCACTACTATATAGGGACGTCATTTCAGGGATTCATACTATATTTTGGTATTCCTATTTTTTCTAAATATGATTTCGACCCGCATATAATTTCGCTAGAGGAAGTTAGAACAGATTGACCGAAAAAATAATACGTTTTATGATAACGATTTTGATGTTATCTGGTTGATAAGAAATTCGGGATAGCTGCGTTTGATGGAATTGGTAATTCGAAAAAAAAATCCCTGCAAATAAATTGCGAAAACAACTGTAATACTGTTAATAATAATAATTACTCATTACTATAGATCAATTAATTAGATAAGTACAAGTTGTCTAAAACAGAAAATGTCATTATACATCTCTACCTATTAAAGATAATAATATACCTATGCCTCTATCACGGATGCACTATTATAAGTAAACTTTGTATTAAGCATTGATAATACTCAATAGTATTAAGCACGATTCTATTTCTATCACCCATCTAAAACTGTGCTTTTTACTGGGTCAGTTGATGCTTGAAATTTTGAAAAGTTTGAAATTGTTGTTTTAAGTATCTGTGGTTGATGCAGTTTTTTTTATCATCTTTAATTGATACGAAATTGAATTATTGTTGATAACAAAGATGCAAATATATTACTTTTGTATAACCTCTTTGCCGCCCGGGTGCAGTTTTCCATATTTTAGGTTAGTTAAAATTGAAAAAACAAAACAAAACCTATATAACTACAACTGTGAAGTGTAACTGAAATTAATATAATTTCAATTCCAGAACTCAGAAATCTAAACTTAATAACGAATCTTCAAAATGGTAAGTGAATATAACACTGTGCCTATTTTTATTTTAAATAATATAGTTGAAGGTCACAATTCTTCCGGGCGTTTGACTCTAGGAACTTTGCTCCTCAGCGAGAATTCTGGGGAATACTAAAGCATTAAATGTTTTACAACAGTTCAAAGCTCTGCAAAAGAAAGATTACGGTTAGGTTCGTGAATTGTCTAGAGGTCTTTTCTTCATGCACGTTAGATACATCGATTTTCGATTGGTAGTAGGAGTTGTCTATTTAAAAGACAGTTGTGACCCAAACTCGATAGTACTCTAATGTCGTTTGATATATCTTAAGAGAAGTATGCCTATGGGCTTTTCTACTTTGTTCTTCGGCTTGGGTATTTTGAAGTACTAAAATATTAGTGATTAAGAAGTACACAATTTATAAATATCAGTTATTCCTATCATATGCCATATTATAATTAGTTGTATAATTTCATGTATTAAAAACTATGTTTGCTTTATGGGTAGAATAAGGGTAGAGCTGAAACAGTACATCTATAAAAAATTGTTTTTTAGCTACCTGTATTGTAATTTTCAGTTGCATATATTATTAAAAATGTTTAATTGATACCTACTACAGATTAATAATAGTTGTACCTACCTACTTACCAATAATTGTGTTGGGAGGTTTGGAAAACGTCTTGTGAAAATCTAGAGGTCAATTTTTTTTGTATATTAAACACTGTCTGATTTGTCATAGTTGGTAGAGTCCACCTTTGGCGTACTAAACACAGTTTAATGTTAGTCATGAACCAGTAAACAAAATGTTGAACTTCATAAAAATTATTGGTCAATGTTTTTTTTGATGCGAAAATTATACTAACTATGTGTACCTTTGTGCATACTATATATAATATATAGTCAATTTAGGTATATCTATAATATGTCATTGTAATGTTTTAATTTCCAAATAGTTTATGATTTCAGTAATGTAAAGTAACAATAAGCCCCTTTTTTTTACTAACATTGGGAAAATATCTATAGGCCAGATTTTAAAACAGATTGATAATTGACGGTGAAGGGTGAAGGTAAAAATTTATAAATTATCAAATTAAATTATTAAATATCGATAAACTGTATAGTTTTATATGCATGTATGTTTAATAATTCCTTAGAAAATAATAATAAATACATAGTAGGTGATTGCTTTTATTAGTTGATTAAAATTAATAAAATAAAAAACAGTCTGTATTTTTTAATTTAATAGGTACTGCTGTGGGAAATGAGTTGAACAATTTTTAAATGCCATTTTTTACATTATTAGAAATCCACTTTTGTGTATAGGTCATGGAAAATATTTGGTGTTTTTAAAAATTGTTATTAAATAGACAGAGTATACTTAAATAGAGTGAGGGTAATAATAATATTAAATACTGTGTTTGTGTATTTGAAATTAGGTTTGTTCCAATACGCGGTCAAACTATCACAGAACTGGCAGGCGCATGCGCAGTAGAGTTTTGCCGTTCCAACACACCAGAAACGCTAACTCAAACTGTCAGACGGTTGTTCCAAAATGTCATTAGACCAGTTTTGGGATTGGTTTTTGACAATCAAATCGATCTGCGGATTCGGATGGGAACTGGTAGTCAGAGACACTGGTTATCATATATTTATTTTTTTATCAATTATTTGCGTTCAAATTTATATTAACTGTTTGTGAACTGTTGTTGTTTCACTTTTCACGCATGGCAAGATACTCATTTTTTTCTTTTCGGGACAATTTAACCTGGCGTTAGAAGACTAGCTAAATGATAGGTAGTCTGAATATTCAATATCACTCATTATTATATTATAACATCACAGATTTATAGAATATATTCGCTATAAAACACACAAGATTAGTTTGTGTTGTTTCAAATCAAATAAGTTTCATACATATCACGGTTTAATCTCTTATCTATATTTTACAATAATGGACTGTATGAAATGTGTTCCTATAAAGCTCAAAGTAAATGAATAGTTCACATTAGCGCATGCGCAGTAAATTAATCACTGATATGTCCATAACTAGTCCCAAATTTCGTGTTGGAATAAACCTATTATGTCAAGTACCTATAGCAGCAGTATCTTGCTAGTATCTAAGAATTATTTTACAAGGTAAAAAAAAATCCTAACTTTTAAACTATGTTTTAGATGATTTTTATGAATAGATAATTCTTATATATTTTTTTAATAGTTTCACTTTTTTCCCTTTACTCAAAAATCATAGGATGATTTTTTAAAGAGGTGAATATTATGTAAGACGTTTTTTAATATATTGACATTTTTTCTTATTACTTATCCAAAAGCCCTTAATTCAACCTGATAATTAAGACGTTTTAGTTTAAATATAATTTATTGGATTTTCGAAAACAAAAATAGATATTTCATAAAACAGTTACTATCTATCATTAGAATGTTGTTAATTTCAGAAAAATTGTTTTATCTTCTGAAAAATTATTACCTATAATTAGAGTTGTATGGTTCTTGCTATAAGCCCTTCAATTATTCTGTTGATTCATATAAATAAATTGTTTTACAATACTCCAATAGTCTATGTTTAATAATGTTTGTTCTGTGTTAAGGTTAAAAAAGTATCTTGATGATATCAAGTAATTCACACATTTTTATGTTTACAGTTATTCTACTCATTTTTTAAATCTCTTGTTGGAAAGGATGTTGTTGTTGAATTAAAAAATGATCTAAGGTAAGAAATTTTGACTGCATTGAGTATTAAAAATTAAAATCATAATATTTCCTTGTTTAATGATTTTAAGTATTTGTGGGACATTACATTCAGTTGATCAATATTTGAATATTAAACTTGTGGACATTAGTGTGACTGATCATGAAAAATATCCTCATATGGTAATTATTTTTAATATTATTATTAAAAAGTAAAAAAATATTTATATTATTTATATTTTTAGGCCTCTGTAAGGAACTGTTTTATCAGAGGTTCAGTGGTTCGCTATGTACAACTACCAGCAGATGAAGTTGATACACAATTATTACAAGATGCTGCGCGTAAAGAAGCAACTGTTGCTCGTTAATATTTTTTATAATGAAATATTTCAAATGTAAATATTAATCCTAATGTATAATATATTTTCTAAAATACTTAATTATTTGTTAAAGTTTATTGTCAGGGATAGTGTAAATTAAAATTCTTATTGGGTATAAAATATGTCTTTTACAGTTAGATATTTTCATAATTAAAAGTTGTAACTAAATCTGGTGTCCTTTATTACTTTTATAGCATCAGTGCATTATTTTTGTATATTTCTAATAATTCCGTTGAGGACACACATTGTTTAATGACACTAATGTGTAAGGTCAAAAGTCTAATAGCTATTGTAACTAAATAGAAAAAATTTTGCTCTAAAAATATTAGTAGATGAATATGTAACTCCTGTGTAATGATTAATTAATTTTGAAAATTATATAGTTATTGTGTTACAAATTATTGTGTAAATATGATATCATTTTTACACAGCTTACAGGGAACTGGCTCTATCCGTCATTAAAACAATTGTTCAGGAAATCTAAAAACCAATTTTTTCCTATTTAATAGTACTTTAAATAGTTAAACTCAAACCACAGTGATTAAATCATAATTGGTAATTAAACAAAGTTATTGTGACATATTGATGAATTTAAACATCAAACAAATTAATTAGTATAAAAGTTATTAATAAAATGTCGGATGGATATGTCCAAATTTTTCATTACCTGGATTTTGATGGACCTTCATTTGATATGACTGATATATTGATCTATGCTGCGACCAAGTTAAAGGAGAAGTCATTTCAACACCGTGACTTCCTCACTTTCCATTTTGAAATCAAACATTAATTATACAGTGTGTGCATTAATTGTAGACATTGTGTGTGTAGTATAAATTTTATTGTTACAATTTTTTATTTCAATGTTAGCATCAATTGTAAACACTATGTTCGCAGTATATGTTATATTTTTTAAGTAAACTAATAGTACTTAATAGTACTTGCACTCATACTACTTTAATATTATAAATTAATCAATATTCGTATAAATACTAGTAAAAAATATACAAAACAATTCTTTTAAAATAATATTATTTACAGTTTAATGGTATATTTACTTGTAGGTATATATATTATATATTAATTACAAATTTTCATCATCATCAGACGTTTAAAGGTTAATTCAAAGATTTTTGTGTACTTATTACAATTTTTAAACCGCTCCTTTCTTAAGTAAGTCCCATATACACGCCACTGAATTCAGTAGACGTCAATATCTTTGCATTAAAGCGTTATACAAAAAACGAGTATAATGCGTGGACTAACTGTTAGATGACTATGATTTGATAGTTTCCTCTCTAGCGGATTGATCGGCAGTTGAATTTAGAAACGATAAAATCCAGCGGCTTCTAAATTTAGAAACGCTGAACAATTCAACAAATTATAACAGGTGTATACATTATCTTTATTATACGATAATAAATATTTGTCACTTTGTAAATAGTGGATGATATCACGTGATACCAGTATGTTAGTTATCTAGTATAAATCTCATACACGTCATTTGTGTTTTATAATGGGTCACTGTTGTAGGTGAAAATTTAGGAAGGTAAAGGGGAATTTAGTGTGCATCTGTACGCAACGATTAATGATTGCTAACAAAAAATAATTTTGGACGGAGTTCGGTTACCTATCCATGTTTTAAAAAAATACTATGTACTTTTAAACTCAAATTTTCCTTGTTGACTCCACTCAGTACAACTTATAATGAATTTTCTGTACAATTTTCAAGTATTTCTGTTCGGTCTGACAATTTTATCCTACACAGATTACCTATCGAATACAAATTTCGTAATAATCATGTAACATTTTTAATTTCTATTGATAGCTAAAAAAATGGCTTTAAACGGTTTAAAAACGGTTTAACAAACCGTTATCCGAAGTGCCTTACTTGCCTGTTGTCTATGTCATATTCGGGTAACGCGTAAGCGTAGACGTTTCGTGTACAGGTACTCGTCGACTGGAAAATAATACGCTTAATAATATAGACCGCGAATTAGTCAATTGCACTACCTAACCTGCCCGTGCCGCCATTACAGGTGTTTATCTGTCTGAATTCGTACCGTCTCTTAATCCCTACACAATCGTTGACAATTATCAAAGTGTACAACAAATCGTTAAGTGCGCGGCTAATGTGAAATAATAATTTTTTTATTGGCCACGCAAAAGTGCCGTTGAAAGTTTAACATTCAATATCGGTGTTGTGAAGTGCGTTCAAATAAAAGTAGACATTGAAATGTTTGATGATATGTCTGAGCCGGTATGCGGGCGTAATAAAACGTAATTACGAATCGAAATCAGCCGTACCTACCCGTGTAGCGCGTGCGCGACCGCCAGTGTCGCACCGTACCCGTTCGTGTTCCGCACCCGAAACGTGCAGTCGTCACGAAAAACATCACGTCTCCGGTGAAACCATAAACCGATCGGCCGCATTGGTGCCTGGTAATGATTGACATTTTGACGGCGGCCGGTGCCGCGTTCTGGCGTTCGGCCGCGTACGCGATGGGCCGGGTTCGTTTCGCCGCAGTCGGAATGATAACAATTATCCTCGGTTACGGTAAGGCCGTCCGCGGCGAAACGACCCCCGCGACGGTGCCGTTGAGCGTCAACTACCATTTCACCCGGCAGTGCAACTACAGCTGCGGCTTTTGCTTTCACACGGCCAAAACGTCGTTCGTGCTGCCGCTGGACGAGGCGAAACGGGGGCTGGCCATGTTGGCCGCAGAAGGGATGAGAAAACTCAACTTTTCGGGCGGCGAGCCGTTCATCAAGGACGGCGGTCGGTTCATGGGCGAGCTGATCCGATACTGCAAGACGGAGCTCCGGCGGGCCGACATCAGCGTGTCGATAGTGACCAACGGCAGTCTGATTCGGGAATCGTGGATGCGCAGGTACGGCGAGCACGTGGACGTGCTGGCCGTGTCGTGCGACTCGTTCGACGCCGAGACGAACCGGAAGATCGGCCGGCAGCAGGGCGCGCGCACCGACCACGTGGCCAAGTTGAACGAGGTGCGCGGGTGGTGCGCCCGGTACAAGATCGCGTTCAAGATCAACACGGTGGTGAACGCGTACAACTTGGACGAGTCGTTCGCCGAACGCATAGACTACCTGCGGCCCGTGCGGTGGAAGGTGTTCCAGTGCCTGTTGCTGGACGGCGAGAACGCGGGCGAGGGCGCCCTGCGCGACGCCGGCCGTTTCTACGTCACGGGAGGAAAGTTCGAGGAGTTCCTGCGCCGGCACGCCGGTGTAAAGACGTTGGTGCCCGAGAGCAACGATACAATGCGCGACAGCTATCTGATCTTGGACGAGTACATGCGGTTCCTAAACTGCCGGAACGGTAAGAAGGAGCCGTCCGCGTCCCTGTTGGACGTGGGCGTCCGTCGGGTGCTCCGCGACTCCGGTTTCGACGAACGCGCGTTTCAAGAACGCGGCGGCGTGTACGTCTGGAACAAAAGCCGAATGCCCAACGACCAGCTCGACTGGTGAGACCGCGGCATTTGAATGCGAAATTCCCGGTGTGTGCGGCGCGACGTAGTTTTAACCGGGCGAACACCCGCATCGGGTATCATTTAAGTTAGTCGGGGACATCGGTGGGAATTTTAAAACGTAAGTTAACGGGATTTTTTTTTTCCCCCACATACATAAAAAACAACACGCGTGTCTTTATAAGTTATTTTATTAAACATACCTAACTATTCGTTATTCGTTGTTTGGATTTTAATAGTGATCGTTAACAGGATATCACGTCGCACGTCAAATATGCATGCGCGATTACAACGGAATTTTCGAAACGGACTTTCACTTTCGAATACATTCAAAAACGGTCACGGTGCGTATTTATTGGGTAATCGTCAGGGATCGGCTTGGAAAATATCGAGGCCCCGCGGAAAAATTACTGCGCGGGGCCTCGATAAGCGTTTCGTTTCGCTTTTCGCCTTCTAATAACAAAATGCAAGCGGTCTCTACAGTACGCAATATTCTTCCAAGTTCTTTTATTCATTTCAATATGTATTCTCCTAAATAATCATGGGCGATTACTTGCATCCAGCTACGATTGCGACTAGACGCGGGCCTCCGCGCGAGTGCACAGCTCGCAGGGCCGCCTACAAGCCGGCCCTGTGGATGGGTAACCGATAAAACGTTTACTGTTTACGCCGGACGATTTATTTCGCACGGCACCGCTTCTTTTACACCGCATATTTGTATAAACTCGCCGTGGCCGACAGAGTAATCGGATTCCAGAACACATAGAGGTAATTATTTATCTATATTACGTTTATGTCTGTAGCACTACTCAATAGTTTTTAATAAGTACCCGAATAAAAAGAAAACCGTTTGTTTACAAGTGCTTAAGTGTTATCAGTATACTGGCTACATAATGACGAGTGATTGATGAGACGTTTTACCGCGGTCTACGTGGAATCATAATATAAAATGATCGGGGCGGGCGACTCGTGGCTATTAATAGAGCGCATTTCGCCACGCCTATGTTTGAATCGCGTTTATTTGAAAAATATTGTGCAGATTTTCACGATAATGGTATCGGTGTAATGTGAAAACGTTAGGCGATTTCGATTTTCTCTGTAGTTTTTTACGCATAGTGCCGGGCGCGTACCGGGTTCTATTTTTGCACCGGGAAATTATTAAATATGACTCGCTAACAAACGTAAATCATAAATAGTCTCAAGTACCAGCCTGTGCAACCTGCCTACCTAAGAAACCACAAAGTTCCAATGCGTAGTTTCAGGAAACAAAAATAGGAAAACTAGGAATGAATCAAGGGCCTACGTGAGAAGGGCCCGCCGGGAAATTCCCGGCAATCCTGCAGAGTGTTCTATAGTGTTATCCTTATGCTGATAACTGTGTCTATATCAATTTTTTTTGTTTTCAATCGGACGTTGTTCAAGGGGGGACACATATTATCATCCCTTAATCACTGAGAAAAATAACTTTATTTTTCCACTTGTTGAAATTATCAAAATAGCCTTTTTTTTTTTTTTTAAAGTATATTATTCTAAACATTTTAATGCATTATAGGCCGGTACGTTCGTATCCGATTGGTTAGTCCGAATAGTTTCTTAGTTGTAGTGACTTCAGTGTATATAAAATAGGCTAGAAAATAATTAATATTTAATAGAATATAAGGAATTAGGTCTTTAGAGGAATTAAGCAATTTTCAGCGATTTTTAATACTCGCTCGAACAATAAATTATTAATAATAAATGATTGTGTTTATTATCTATTACTGCGGTCTGCAATAGTCAACTAAAGTTTAACCAATACTACGTATACATTTAAAATTTCTGCACAAAAGTCTTTTGGGGCTGTAGGAGGCCGTCAAATGCCCAATTCGGTACACAGCCCAATGGCCTCAAGGTGCCAAATATTAAATTTATGTTTTATTTCGTTTTATCCTAATGGATTTATACTGTATAAATTTATAATTATGAATAGTTTTTGAATTGAATAATATAATAATACTTAATAGAACCAATATCGAAGTTTAAAAATCTAAAATTCAGTTTTTAAATCTATTTTGGGTTCTAAAGAACCGGATGTCGGATTTTGAAAATCAGGATTATATCGGATTAAAGAAAATCCGGATTTTTCCACCACTAATTGACCAACACGTGACTCTAGGGTGTTCACACTCTTAGTGAAGGTAAGTACGATATTTCCATACTGTACGTTAAAAAAAAAAAAACATGCGTGTTACCAAATGGTATTTTAATTTAGTTAAGTTACTAGATACGCAACAGATTTTCTATATGATGTAAACACTGACGACAATTATCGTTACATCGGTTTTTGTCGATTTCTGGGTTAACGTGAGTTGGAATAGGATAAAACACGGCCAGCACTACCGAAATACTACTACACACTGAAACGCTTTTCCACTGAAATGATGTTGCTCGTATAGCGTAACAATTAAATTGGGTACTCTATATTCCTGTAAATTTCAGATTTCCCGTTGCCTACAGTGTTCACATTTGTTTTTCATCATTGCAACGTGCATCACGCAAACCGTGTACAAAATAATATTAACATTGAAATAATTGTATTTCGAGTATAACGCGATAGAAATAATCGATACGATTTTGTGCGCCTGGAAATACCGCAGATCTGCGATACTTTTAATACTATATTGTAAATACGGCATACAATTAAACAGAACGTCTTATTACGCGAGTTTCGTTGATAAAGCCGACCTATTGATCCGTACACACTCGAGAGTAATAAATACCGAAAAGAAATAAGAAAGGCAAAATAACGGGGACGGGTGCAGCCACCGGTGTCGGCGGGTAGTCGGGAAGATAGGAAATCGACGGGAATGTAATGTGGCATCCGTGAGCGACGGTAAACCATTGCTTACGAAGAAATCGTTCTTTACACCAGACCGAAATCGTTGAACTTCAACGTATGCGAAATTCTACTAAATTATTATATAATATGAACATAATGTTAGTCGATTAATGTGTGCAGATGTTTAACGTGTTGCTCGCGAAGGACCGCGAAGACAACAACAATTGTATCCGGATTATGAAATTGTAATCCGGATTCCGGATCGGTCAACGTATTTCCCAGCACCAGAACAAAAACGTGTCATTGAACACGACGCGACACCGAGTTCTTGGCTAGTAGGTGTATTTCTCGGCGATGTTCATGTGATATCAATCGACCTGTTTTCCGTATATTAATATTTTCCCGAAATTCGACGCGTAACAATACAATGTGCTGTAAAGGAATACATTACGATAGGGCCAGTGGCGTAGCCGGGATTTTTTTAAGGGGAGTGTTTTTGTTCTGTGTTTAGATGTAACTGTGTAACTTTATTGTGCGCGTGTAACACACACGCACACACATATACCTATACTTAATAATTATCTATGCGTTACACATCTTGTGTAGACGACGTGTAACCGTGTATAGTGAAAATTATAATTGTTGATATAAATATAGTCAAATGGGGGGAGGGGCGTTTGAAAACCAAAACAACCCCCCACCCACATTCACGCTACGCCGCTGGGTAGGGCGCATCGTTCGTCTGCCCGATGCCCGGCGGGCCAGTATATACGGACACGCGACTGTTCCTTTGTCGCACGATTTGGTTTAAACTTAATAGTGCTGCAGCAATATTGGCGTTCAACTATGTTTATTGCCAAAAATAAATACTTACTGGCTATTTATTGTGACCGTGTTGTTTTTATCATATTGTAAGACTTACGAATCCCGAACGGATTTTAAAAAAACGAAAATAATCGTCGGCGGATCGTTTCCTAACCGCTTGAGCGGACGTTTCACGGGTACTTGAAATGCGCCGCCAGCTGAATGAACAAATAATTGACCGTTGAAATTTACATCGCGTATTTTGATTTTTTATTAACTATTCAATTATCATTATAATCGCTTACATTTGTATATTTAAGCCGCGTACCTATACATATTCACATCGTAATACACTATATATATATATATATATATATATATATATATTATATTTTTTCCGTGCAGTACTAAAACTTTACAAAGTGACAAACGTACAATGTACACATACATATAATGGAGAAAAAAAATTATAATATCGTTTGGGACAAAATTCATTCAAATGAGAACATTGTAATTTTATATAGGCACTATATTATTATGTTATTAGTCGAGAGACCGGATTTTTATTATCTTGTAATCCACAACAAGGCGCGTTGAAACATCAAAAAGAAAAATCTCCAAAAAAAGCATTTACAAACATTTATAAGAGCAAAAACGACGGAGGAGTTTAAAAGTCCCTCTCCCCCCACTAATGGCCACCAACTTATTATTAAATTAAATTTTGTAACAATATAAAATTGATTTATACAAAATAATTTCTTTTAAATGAAATCGTACGTATTATAAAAGAAAAAAAAATTACTTTTTATTAATCATTTTTGTAGTGTTGGAAAATTGTGTTTAAAAATTAAATCCGTTAGAGGCGAAGGAAGGCTATTAAACTCCGCTATTATTTTTTTTTGCGTTTTTATGTATTTTTTCCATGGTTTTTTGACGTTTTCAAGTGCAGCTTTTTTGTAGATTTTAAGAACATATAAATCCGGTCTCTAGACTTATTATACTGTTAGCTGTGATCCGTTTTCGTGACAAGTGATATCACTTGTCAATGGTTTTTTTCGGTTCACGCGTCTGACATAATCGCGGGATACCGTCAGGCGGAGTTTCGGTACTTTTATTTTCAGTAGGGGAAGAGAGGTTAGTAACACGATGTTCGTATTATTACGAACATCGTGTTATAATTTATAAAGACCGACCTACTATAATGGAGTACAAAACTGTATAGGGGTACTTTAGATGATTTTCTTTTTGTGGCGGTGGGGGGATTAATAAGCCGCACCTAGCCCCCTTAATCTCCGTCTGTCGGGGTCCCGCACTCGAATCGGATGAAATAAAATCGGTGTATAATTAGCGTGACAAAAAAAAAAAAAACTAACATATAATAATATTATAATATTTATAACACGTTCCAATAGAACCACGTAATACGATTTTGATACTAATAATAGAAAATAATAATAATAATATATTTATATATATATATATTTGAATAAAACAATTATTAAAAGTCGGGTCATTTCAAAATGCGTTTCGGTCGTCCCATTCGTTAAAAAAAAAAAAAAAACAAACGACTCCCTCCTATCTCGGCAAAGAAAAAAACACAACTACAGTTATTTTAATAGATCTGCACGCGTGAATACAGAGTCCCGGGTTAGATACAGCGAGAATAGAAGTGTTATCAATTATTATTATTTATAATACGAACAGCGATCGATTTAACGGTTTTCGAATTACGGGGCGAGACGAGGCAAGGGCGCCCGCAGGGGAAGGCAGCGCGGATCGTAAACGACTCTGTAGATTTTTAATATCCACAAGCTCAAAAAAAAAAAAATCAAATCATATGCCAAATAATATCAGTGGCGAAACGAACACGGTCATTTTCAAAGCGATTGTTTTTTGAATTTTTTTTTTTAATGCGTGTTGCTCGATTCGAAAAAACTATAAATATTATAGAACTCGTTTTACTATTATACTAATCTAGTAAAAAAATAGTCGGGACATATTGGGAATATTTGGAAACGTTGACGCGCGATGAGCACTTCGGGTAAGTGGCGGTGGCGCACAAACTATTTTTTTTATATGGTGTAGCAAAATTTGAAATTCAAAACCACCACTCGCCTCTAAAACTTTGAGTCAGTAGCGTGCGCAAGGGGGGGGGGAGGTTAGGGGTTATATCTCCTCCCTCATTGGATTACAAATAGAGAACAGTATGAGTAATCTAATGTCGAAATGCATATATTTCAGCCAAGTTACGAGAAAAAAATTGACGTATTGATTAGAAATCGGCATTTTTTTTTTTTTTTTTTTAAGACCCCGCTTTCAAATTACCAATTCCCAATGTCGAGTTGGGTAGTGGAGACGAATTCACGGTTTAATCGCGATTCTTAGTTGCTACGCCCCTTTCTGTAGGTAATTCCTGGACACGCCACTGACTTCGACTCATATAAATGTATATTTTCGAACCTTTCGAACTTCCGAACCCATATACGATCTAATGCCTCGCACGTTTATACTCGTATTACCCGACCATTCCGAGTTCCAGTTACCCGGGGAACACCCGCACCCATCCGAAATACGACGTGTAACAACTGCGGCTACATTATAATATGGGCGCCACTACAGCGTAATTATCGTTTCCGGGCTGTTCTACAGGTTGGCTTCGCCATTGTCCATAATAATCCATACTTTGTATTTTCAGCATTGTTTGCGATTTCGTTCGGCGAATACTTGCAATACGAATTTCTCCCCCTCCTCCCCGGATAAAATCGAAATTGTTTCCTGCGTATACCTATTGTTTTCTATATAACGAGTCGCGGATTGAATACATTTTTAATCGAAAACGGGGTTGTTGTTCCCCCTAGGGATTTTCGCCTCCGGGTGCCCTTGAAACGAGTCGTTACCCGGCGGTACGCCGCGGGACAGGGACGGCCGTCGCGAACACATCATGGCGGCGCGACGAATACAATATTATCGATTTGACGTTATACGAAGCCGACGTTCGTACGGGGTTTCGCTCTAACGATCGCCGTTGCTGTTGAAGTACGAGTTTTGCATCAGGTACAGTTTGTCGATCGGGTTGATCTGTTGACCCGGGACCACGGACGCCGCGCCGCTCACGTGATGATGATGGTGATGGTGATGGTGCTGCTGCTGTTGTTGCTGCTGCTGCTGCGTAGTGTGGTGGTGGGTTCCGTGAACGGACAGGTCCAGCGACATGGTGTCCGAGCCGATCTCGTCGGCCGCCGTCGTGCTGCCGTCCAGCGACACGTCCGAACTGCAGAAACTGTCCACCGAGTGGTCGCCCGTGTACGTACCTACCAAACATGTTGTTTAACACGTAACACAAACGCTCGGTATTGTTTTTTTTTTTTTTTCTGCTTACCTTCGGGCGAGTACGGTATGTTGGGGTTAAGCGGTTGACTGTTTTGGTAGTTCGAATCGCTGCTGTCGTGCATGCTCAACGTGCTCAGACTCAGATAATGATCTGTTCGCAATAACAATTGTTAATGATAAATGATAACAATAAGGGCGAGTATTATATACAGTCGCGGATCAATAACCTAACCCAACCCTCGCTGTTCGAAATACGTAGTAATAATACTGTAGTAGGTTTTGCGTCGGGAATCCGTTATGCTGACGAACACGGCTATATTAATCAGAGACATGTTGTTTAACACGTAACACAAACGCTCGGTATTGTTTTTTTTTTTTTTTTTTTTAAAAAAATAGTGCCCGTAGACCGATTTTATTTACGTCGATTTCATAAAAAAAACACTACTTTCGAATCGTGTTTGAACGCGATTCGGTTCGAATCTAACGGCTCGCGACCGTTACGACGATCGTATTTAACGCGAGCATCTACAATGTATTAATTTTGCGTATTTTCAATATTTCGAATCCGCAATAATATAAACAAATTACGCCCAGATACTAACCTCCAGAACACACGCTGGACGTGGTATTCGTCGCGTGCTCCGTTTCGTTTTTGTCCGTGTTATTGGCGATGTTGTTGTTGGTGTTCTTATCGTCCTGTTTGCTCTTCCTTTGGATTTTCTTCATTTTCGCCCTCTGATTCTGAAACCACACTTGTACCACTCGTACGCTTAGACCCGTGTCCTTGGCGAGCGCTTCTCGCACCTACGTTCAAATTACGTACATAAAATATAGTAGGTAAGTAGTTAGTATATACACACTGCACTGTTATAATATATAATGGGTATTCGTAAATCCCGAATTTATACACGCGAACTGAGTGTACGTTTCGCCAGCTCCATGTGAGGCTCGGTTATGGACAGATGACGAAAAAGGTAAATCGGGCAAACAGGTTGAAATACTGTGGAAGCGACTATTCAGAACAACAGAGATATAAAAACAGAAATGACGAAGAAAATCAATGCTGCCCAGCAGGTCTGGAGGAAAGGTGTAGGAATAATATACGTCAATCCAGTTTCAATAAGATTTAAGAGAAAATTGTATAAAACAATCACAATCACAGCTTTAATGTATGGAGCATAGTACAGGGTAAACAATAAGTGGGCGCAGCAAAATAAATGTAAACAAGACGAAAAGCCATGATGAATGTTTGGTGTTACAAGGATGGATCGGATAAGAAATGAATATATAAAAGGGAGAAAATAACCGGAGCTAGATTAAGATGGCTTGGACACGTAATACGTATCCAGGGAATGGGATAACTACATAACCAAGAATGACAAGTAACGGGGAACGTGGATCGTGGAAGATCAAAGAAAAGACGGATAAACTAAGTGACGCTTGAAGATATGAAAAACATGGATAACATTCCACAGATGCGATAAGTATAGAACTAGCATGGAGAACCAAGATCCGAAAAACGGACCTCGCATAAACCTGGAAAAGCGCCAATGGGAAAGAAGAAAAATAGGGATTCGTACTATAGTTGTGGATTGTACAGATACTAGATAGGTAGGTTAGGTTAAATAAATACGAGTAATATACGACCAGCACATACCTTTCTGCAAGGTTTCGGGCTGACTTCAAACGAAGCTTTGAACTGCCGCCGTTGTACCGAAGTCAAAATAGTTCTGGGTCGTTTCGGTCCTCGACGACCATCACGGGGCCTACAGTTCTCGTCCAAAGTTAGACCGTCGTCTGGAAGAGAAAACAAAATCAAATTTACAACAATCATTTTACTATACTATAATTATTTTGCATGTATAAAGTGAAGGTATATTTATCATTTAACCCTAACAGATAATGTGACCAAACATATCTCTGGTCCCTCGACTGGAGATCAACTGTAATCAACAAAATTTCTCTAGTCGATCTGTCACCGACTATTCCCTCCCGCCGATAATAAGACAGCGGTACACCCGTAGCGTGCAGTATATGTCCAGATTAATTTTTTTCCTTTTAAATCCACACGTATAATTGTACTGTGCATAGGTGATAATAATAATATGGAATACACTGAGGCTGCGGAGAAAAATATGGATTGGAAATCTAATTAAGGAATGGTCCTTGGATAACTACGATAATATTGGGAAAAATTAAAGGCGAACCGGGAAGGGAAAGGCCTAGAACAACACCTTTCACGAAACCAGTGATGGAAGACACAGGATAATAAGAACTACGCATATAGAGAACTAAAAATAAATATAGATGACAGAGGAAACGTCAACAATCGTTTAATCAATCATTGGATTGTAAAAAAATAAAAAAAAAAAAAATAGGTGATAGTATTATTACGATAATAAGTAATAACCATTATTTTTTTTTTACTTACCCGGTTGAGGACTGCCGACGGTCTGTTGCATTAGAAATATTTCTTTTTCGAAATCGGTGCGGCAGAAAAGTTGTCCGCCGCCGGCTTTGACCACGTACTGCTGGCCTTTCTGCAACGGTTGCATGCAAGCCACGCACGCGAAACATCCCACATGATAGACGTGACTGGGCCCGGCGCGCATCACCAGCTCCCTGGCGCCCAACGGTTCGCCGCAACGGCCGCACTTGACGCCGAAAAGTCTGCACACGCGCAACGCGCAAACAACGCGATTAATATACCGGCGTGATACTTTCGCATACGTCATGAGTCGAACACAGATAATAAATAAAGGTAAGATGGAAGGTAAGAAAGATAGGCCACTCCTATAACACTGTAATTGTAAGCGAGGCGATGTTCCCGGAGCAGGGGCGGTAAACTGAGGCGATTTATCGTTCATCACTTTATATTATGATAAAACGCCTCACTTTCGGAAACTCGCGGAGTATGACTGTACGTTCCCCTCTTGAAACACTGATAAGGTATAAACAGCCTATCCGCGTGTTTTTATTATCTATGCGGAGTCGGACGGGTCGCGGCCATTTTATCCGACGGTATTTGACGACGGGGAGATATCGCGCGAGAGAAGGCCGTCCGTATCGTTGAAATGTATACCTTGTACGTTCTTCGGCACTCAGAATATAATTTATGCTACACGGTTTAATATTATAATTTTTAACGACGATTTTATCAGTGTCTTTATTACGTCCTCTAAATAAAACAGTGTTTCTCAACCATTTTACTGTCACCACCTATTGCATCAGTGGTTTCCCCATGAGTAAAAATGAGTAAAAAAAAAAAAAAAGTCCTCGCAAAAACTATACCATAATATTCGTATAAATTCGTGTCTCTATCAAACGAATTAAAGCCGTCCGGACAACTACCCCCAATTGCCCCTACCAAATACAGCCTTGCTCGTAATCTTTATCAATACCCGATAACCGGTCGTTATTAGTTTTTCGTTTTTTCCCTACATTATAAAATAAAAATAATTTAATAAATACAAATTCGACTTCGTGACGAGTGCTTGCACCTCCTCAGCCATATGTTCACGCCCCATTCCAGTTTGGGAAACACTACCCTAAATGGATATTACATTTTTTAGCGAACCCTAAATACACATTATATACAGGACGATCCGATATTTTACATTTTTGGCGACCCTAAATTCGAGTTGGTGACCCCTCCCCCCCCAAAGAATTGGTTTCCCGGTTGAGAAACACTGCTCCAAAACATTGAATATGTTTAGCGGATGTTTCACGATGTCGAAACGTATTTCTGAGCTTTCTTATACATTTTTGTCGCGCGCATATTTAATAATTTACTGTAACGAACGGGAAATGTATACATTTTTGAAATATCGTTTTAAAAGTCCGAGGAGCGTCTAAGGCAGTGACCGGTTTGTCAAAAAGCGTCGTGAAAAAAATGCCAAAAGTGAAAAATTCAAACGTTAAATCGAAGGGATTTAAAAATCCGGTTTCCGGATGTTTGCCGTTGCGTCGATTTTTTAAAAATGTCGAAATTCTACGCGGCACAGCGTAATAATTATAATATCGTCCAACACCGATGACGAATCCCCGGCATTTGTTTTCCGGTTTATAGAAAAACTTCCGGAAACCAAGAAACACGTTTACAAACGAATAAGTACCGCCGGCGTGGACAAACCGCGTTTCTTACGGTCCGAATCGCCTCACTCCCTCTTCCCCTCCCCCTCCCCCCCACCCACCCGCCCACACCGATAATACGCCGAACTCGCATACAGCACACGTAAATGTACGCGTGCTCGGATACGGGCGTACTGCGGCGGAGTGCTTGAACTATTTCGATCGTGTCGCCGTGCCCGCCGTACGGCCGGTACGTGCACGCGAATGTACCAATAAGCCTGCACGCGCGCGCCGCTCATCACGATTTACAAGGTCGGGTTGGTCGACGTTTCGGTCGGTGCCGCGTGTCCGGAGACGGGCGACGGCAGGAGAGCTATTGCCGTCCGCATTGTTGTATTACGCGGCGCGCCAACTAATAATATCGCGTCTGTGCTGAAAAGCGGCCGTACGGCCGGTGGGCACCTTCATTGTAGGCATACTGTCAGGTCGTACCTGTCGTAGTCGTTTTTGCAGTACAACCCGTTGTGACGGTAGTAGCACGACTTGGACAGCGGGACGCCGCACGCGGAACACGTGACGCACTGTTCGTGCCAGCTGCTCGAACCCACACGCATCAAGAACCTGTCCACGATCTTCATTCCGCAGCCCTCGCAACTGGACGGGCCGTCGCCGCAATCGCCGTCTGCTGGCAACAAAACAATGTAATAATATATCGCCGCCGAATATTGTAACTGATCAGGGCGCGCGGGCGGTAGCTCTAAAAAAAAAAGTCGTTACGAACGCAACGATATGCTCTAAAAAACGTTCATACAAGCGTTTAAATATGCAAAAAAAAAAAATAAAAAAAAAATAAGCGCTTTTCTTCTTTGAAACGACGATATAAACGTCAAATACCGCTGAAAACATCAAAACAGTAAAATAGCGTCGAAATTTCAAAATTTGCAACGAATAATGTTGCAGTTGACTTCCTGGTTACCCGAAACAAATCTGTGACTTACTTAGGTATCACTAGGACTTTTAAAAACAAGTATCCAAATGCCGCAAGTCACGAGCCCCGGTAATGACATTATACGTGTGGCGCGTATCACGCGTCGGACGATACTATAAAACTTAAATACTATAAATTTCGGGGAGGGGGGGAGGTGTTAAGGTTGTACACTTTATTACTCGTATGACAAAGGAGTTTAAATACTTTCAACTGTATAGGATAATTTATTATTTTTCATTAAAAATGTCAATATTTTAGAAAATTCGTTTTTAGCCTTTAGCTGTTATAATAATATTAAAATAAACCGAAATTGTATTTATCCTTCTCATTGACAGAAATCACTTTTGAGACCTAACCCAACACGCCCCGTAGTTCCGGCTATGTATCTGGCCATATAATAATTGTACTTTTTGTATGGCGGCAATGATATTATGATTACGGACATCGCCGTCGGAGACTGTGTAAACATGTAATATATTGTTCAAATTTTATCGAAATGCAGTTTTCCGTAATGCCGTCGGTTTTTCGATTAATCAAACTGAGCAAACAACTAAAGGTAACCCTTAAAAAAATTAAAATTCTATTTCCGTTCCGAAATACCAAAAATTCTGTGCCGACCTGCACCCTTCAGTGGTCCGGCTCGTTCATTAGTACAGATAAACAGACGGACACTTTCTCGTTAAACGTACGGAAAAAGAAAACAGAGTTTGCTGCAAAACTGCAGCAAAAACCAAGAAAGAAAGAAAGAAAAAAAAAAATCCCACCATTTTATACGCCTATGTGCAATGGCGGTTTTCCGAGTTTAGTCTATGAAACGTAGATTTCGCGTTATAATGTCTAAATTAATATCGCAATGTATTGTTGAACGAAACGCGTAGGCGCGTTCGCGTAGATACGTGAAAAAAATAATACGAAAGTCGACTCCGATAAACCCGTAACGATATTGAGGGGCGAATATTTGTTGTATGTTGAATACATTGTAAGTTGATATCAAAGGAATCTCTCGCCACCTCCACCCGCCCGTTCCTAGAAAAAAAAGTCCGGTAACCGCCACTGCACATGCATGCATCTATATAACATGATGCACATGAGTTTGTACAATACACACGCGCGAGAATATATTTTCGTATTCTGGCAGACCTTCCGCCGTGTTCCCGCGGTCGGAGCGAATTCACGCGGGACATTCGAGATCGAACGACGCTACAAATAGCCGACCGAACTATTTTAATACGCGATAATAATCGTTCTCGCGAAACAATATCGTTATGTATGACCGGAACGGTCGCCCTGGTACAAGCGTACGCGTATGACGCGCGTAAATTATTGTAAATATAGAACAGGTATATATTTAAACTGGTAGGGATCGAGACATTTTTCGTTGTTTTGTTTTGTTTTTGTTTTTATTGCATTGAAAGTTTAAATAGATTTCACAAGGGTTAAATGAAATATTTCAGATCCCGTGTGTGCAGCGCGGCAGTGAACAATATAAGCTTTTAGTTTTATCCGGACGCGCGTTGTTTTTTTACTCGTAAGACATACCCGTTCACATCGTATACTATAGATTTAAATGTAGATTTTTAATTTGGGAGAAAGCTAGGGATCTAGATTCGTTATACTGTAATGGGTATATTATGTATTTTTTTTTTTTTTGTCAATCTGTAATCAACTTTTCGAACGGAAAACTCGTTCCGATCGAAAAACAAGAGATGTAGTTACATTTAAGATCTAGTCGGCGCGTTAAAAAAGTAATATTTTGATTATCCAAGGGGTTTTAAAAATAATTAGGTAAAACCGAAAAAAAAAATTATAGGAAAAACGGTAAGTATTTACAGCGCACCGCGGCGTTGCCGATTTCATAGTAATCAATATTTGTATACCCATAATGTTTTCAAACAGAAATATTGCTCCAAGAGAAAAATGCCAAGAAAACTTTTTTATTGCATTTAGAATCTAGTCAGTGAATCAGAAAGTTATTTTATAAGATTCTCTGTGTAGTTTTCTTAATAATTGAGCGAAATAGGGACAAAAAACGTAGAAAGAACGGGAAAGATAACGAAAAAATATACTGGTTTCATTATTTTCAATTTTTTTTTTTTTTTTTATTGTTATTCGGTTAAAAATATTTGTAGGGACTTGTAATTTTGACAAAAAAAACTTATGTTTGACTTTTATTGACGTGGTAATATTGGTTTTAAGATCGAATTTTGATGAAAATCGTAAATATTACGGTCTGTCAAACAATGTACAAACGAACTTCTTTCAGAAAGTCAAAATCGTTTTTCGTTAGCAATGGTCTTTCGTTGCTCGAAACTTTAAGGAATTCAGAAAACTCGATCTGAATTTTAAGAGCAGCATTTTTTTCCGAAGGAAAATTGAATCCGGTGAGCGCAACGATGTAAGAAAATCATTTTTTGATTTTCATCGTAAAAAAAAAAAGTAGAGCCTAATGTAGTTTTTTAAAAAGCATATTAATCACAGTTTTTTTTCTGATATATACCTATGTATCCGGACTTGAGTAAAAATATACCATTACATTATTACACCATTACACGTTTGTGTAATGAACATTGCACGGGTTTGTAATGTACCGCGGCTTCTATACCAAAGGACTAAAACACCCAGTTGGTCCTTTGTTTTCTAAATAGCCATACATATACGGTGTTTGTACAATATTAGTGAAGGGCTTAATTACTTGTTGCGCATCTATAAGCTTTTACATATTCGCACATCTATACTAACAGATAATTGTTATTTAACAATATCGTATTCATATAGAATCCGGAAAACAATTACTGATTAGTACCTGATAATTGAGCACATTACAATGATTACTGAGTATAACGAATGTATGTAAATTTATGAAAGTGTACGGAAATATAATTATACGAGATGCAAGAACAAAACTGAAATACTGGTAATATCTGATAATATTATAGTTTACTAACACTAACACTAGGCACAGTCAGGCCCGGATTAAGGGGTTTCCTTACCTCAACCGTTTAAATTCTGTCATCTTTAAAATCGCCCCTTTCACCTATACCCATAAATCCGCCACTAACTAGTTATTACAGTGTTTTGTAGACCGTTATAATGACATTTTGCGGAGCTAAAGTATTCGTATGAATCCAAACACAATATTCGCGGGTGTGTCTGCCTAATGTTCATAGCTAAGTGTATTTATTTAAAAATTTACGCGCGTAAATATTAGTACTATATTGGATTTTCGGCATTATGGCCGTCGCTGGCAGATTTTTTTTTTATCAGTCATGTGTAACTTACACAGAAAACCGGCTGTAAAAACCGTTAACGGTTTAGTTTTCTATTGGTGGAATTATCCGATATTTAAACTGGCGCAAACAGCGCACACAAACGCGCGGTTTAACGCCGAAATACGTCAAGTCGTCATCATTCCCGTGTATATTTAGCCATGCCAATACCTGTATCGCTGACTTTGTGCATTAGATATTCGTATACATTATACGCTACTGAAAATATTATCAGTTCTAACAGTATATATTATGTAGTTCGATTACAAATGATTATAAACGGATTATAATCATCCCACGGAATTGTGCAAAAAATAATTTGAAAATCAAAAGTGGACAGTCATTTCACTTCCAAAAATAATGGGTACAAAAAAAAAAAAAAAAATGATAAAACATTTTAGAACTATTTATTTTTTAAGTTTTCCAAAAAAAAAGTTTTTAAAAAAAGTCAATGCTTTTTAAAATAATGAGTGTTTTTTGATAAAAAAAAAAAAAAAAATCACTGTATTATATGTATAACAAATTTTGACTAATGCCGTGCAAATATTTTGGTAATATTATAATATAAAAGATTTTGTTTGCACGGCGTATTATTTTTATCAATTTTTCGATTTCAGGCTATTTAGACGGCAAAATCGTCAACATTTTTTCTTATAATATATACAATTCTTATATTATATAGGATGCTACTGATAAAAATATTATATCATAAACATGATTGAAGGTAGGGTGTAACAGCCAGACATCTACAAAATTAAGTATGTGCCTAATATTCCTACGTAATATCTGGACTACCTATTTACATAAAGTAGCCGATCCATTACATAGAATTGATTGCGAACGTAAAGGCGAGCAATAAGTGTCTATGTAATGGTATAGAAAGTGACGAATGGCAATAGCAAATAAATAATGATAAGTCGACGATATTTATTTATATTATGATAATACGTATTCTATTTGAAACTCATTATTATATTAATAACTCAAACAACGCTACAATACACATATTACCACTGCACATCATAATTCGTATAACTACTGTCGTTTTGATTTAGTGGCGTCTTAAATATTGCATATTATATTTAGCGGTCGTATTTTATTTTAAGCATAGAACAGCAGCAAACGTGTGCACCGAACAATTTTCGGGTGGCGAGCGGAGGGACTAAGGTTCTTAAGTAAAAATATTAAACATTTTGAACTATATAGAACTAAACTAACCATAGAATGGTGGTTTTTACAAACGTTGAGAGATAGGGGTTAAAACCACTGTACCCCTCTATGTATACGTGCCTAGATAGGAATACATGTTTTGGTGATTTTTCATCGCGATCCATTATACCATTTTTGTCATCAATTTATCACCCTTTCATACGTCTTTTGTTGAAACGGTAAATTCAATATTGTAATTCGACATTTCTAGAGAACTAAACTTCTTTTTTGTATTATAGGAGTTGATAGTGTTGTAATTTTAAAATGCTGTGAAAACAAAAAGCTTAAACAACTCCGTATACCTTTACTGATTAAAAAACTTGAAATCAAATTTACTTAGGAATTTACAATTTTAGATGAAAATCGCTGGATCGCTGTAATAGAATCAACCTGTATATTATTTACTTAATAACATCTGTACCTAATCGTTTGCAGTGGCGTACACATGGGGGGGGGGTGCCTACCACAGCCCCCCCTTGGGACTTTTTAATGAGTTTAATAGTTATATGAAAATTCCCGTTTAACATTTAAATTTATACAGTAAACACAATAATTATTGTAGGTATATAATGCAGGCCATTTTAAACTTTTATCTAACTTTTTTCATCATATACTACGGTATTTTACAGTTATCAAGGTAAAAAATAAACGAATTCAGTTATATCGGCGTATTGCCAAAATACCGCAATCGACGAAAATACAACGTTATCCGTGTGGATCCTGTATTGTATACCGAATATAAAATACAGAAAAATGTTTTTTATTTTTTTTAGTGGCAAAAACTTAAGTAATAAATTTCAAATTAACAGTCCTAAGCCTGCAGCAGTAAGAACGAGGAGGAAAATGTGCGTATTTGACTGTATTATATATTTCACTGCGACAATTCGGGAACCGAAAATTCGACATGCAGTAATGCGGATACGTGACAAATTTAAACGGGAACCAATTCGGATATACCCGTAACGATTATCATAATATTATTATGGTGCAACGCGTTTGCTCGGGCGGTGCAATAATTTCGATACGAATCGATTATTGTTTATTTATATGCAATCAGAGACATTCCGCTGTCGACCAGTGACATTTACTTAATCCAAGTCAGAGTATTTAAATTAAAGTATGCAACAAAAACAAAAACGAATCCTCCCTTTATAGCGGAGCCCAACCGTTCACGCAATTTTCGTACGCTTAACTTATTGGATAAAGAATCGATTATAACGGTTGTAACGGTATACTCACAATTGGATATTCTGGGAAACCCGTCCATGTCCCTGACGACGTGCCGGTGCAGTATGTCCAGCATCATTTGACCGGCTCCGGGGCGCGCGCGATGTCCGTAAGGGCGATAGAATATTATATGGTACTCGCGTCCCTATATCGGGCTCGTGTTGTCCGGCGGACGGCGTCCTCGTCGGCTCAAAGTCGGCGGCGGGACGTGCACACGGGACGGTGCGCGTACGCGATGTGTGCGTGCCGCGCGCGCGGTCCATCGACAGCGCCGCCGCCGTTGCCGCCGCCGCCGCGCCACCACCACCGCGACGGCCGCCGTCGTCGTCTGGCGTACGACGTATCCGCGGCACCGGCGACGCGGGCGCGCGGGACCGCGGCGGACGGCGCGGTGACATGGCGTGTCGCCGGCCCCGCGGCACGCCTACCGGACGCGGCCGTTGGCGCCGGGGACGTCCTATCGATCGGCCCGCGGTCCAACGGGAGCCGACTACCCGGCGTCGCGCCCCGCCGCCGTTTCGTCGCCCGCGAAGACGGGACCGCGGGAAACGTCGTCGCCGCCGTCGTCGTCGTCGCCGTCGTCGCCGGCGCTATAGACGCGTTCTATGTCGGTCCGTACGCCCCCTGCTCCCCGTTTTATCGACGTTTGAGCCCGAAAGAAACGCTCGTATTAAATATACGCTGGCGCGCCGAAGACGGGCCCGCCGCAGAGATATTTCCGTCACATCATATTCCGTATATGTATAATATTATAATACACGTATATAATATTCCATTTACTTCCTAATATACGTATATATACTTATATATATATGTATAAGTATAGTGCATGTACCGCGCGTGTAATGTGACGTGTAGATGCCGCGCTAGCTGCGCTCCACTTCATTATATTTCTCGCCGTAGTCGTTCCGTGCGACCGAGACCATAACACAATATATTCCACCTATAATATACGTAAATAGGTATACCTATACCGCAAAAACCGCGGTTACCGCGCGGTATAATACATAATAATATAGCCTATAAAGCTGCTGTATATATATACATATAGGATCCACCTACGCGGGCGCGTCTGTATAGAATATAATATTATACCCCGCAGCCGATAAAATGTCTATACGCGCGTCGCATACATAGGCGAACGGTAATTATTATATTACAATAATATACAACCGTATTATTATGTGGGTATGGGTACAAAAGCTCTGCGTGTGGCGATATTTTTAAGCCCGGCCCGTTTGAGCCCTACGCCGTTTGTATTCACGAAACCCACACCCGAATTTGAAACTATAAAACGAAGCACATTCCGCCCAGCCCGGACTGAATCAAAAATAACGGTACCATTAATGCCGTATAGACTTTCCCGTTGTTCATACCGATTCTCCAGATTTTTCCTACAATTGCACAAACAAAATGAATAGTAACAAAATGAATAATATGTATTCATGGTAAATATAGTTTTTTCCGAAGTAAAAAAAAACGTAGTATCTACAAATAATTTGTATCACTGAATTACCTACAAATCAGCGAATGAAACCGATGTCCTATTGTATTGGATACTATACGATTTGGCTATTTTGTTTATTTTTTGTCAAATTGGTCAATATTATAATGGGTTCAAATTTGTCAAAAATGTAATTTTCGAACAAAATCAGAAATTTAATTTTCTTACCGAATCAAAAAGTCCTCAACTGGGATCAAATTGCTCCATCCCCGCCCCGATTCAAAATGTGACTATATAACGGATTAAAACGTCTCGTTGTACGGTGAAAATACGTGAAATGTGTAACCGTTATTATTTTCGTTACTCGGTCGAAAACTAACTGCAGGCAAAAGCCAACATTATAGTAGCCGATATATTATGATAATCGTATTTTCTATATTGCGAATAGACTTCGCTTCAAATTTTTCGATAGAAACCTAACTTATGTATTATATTTTTTAGTGTATTTACCGTATTGTTATGAGTTAATTCTTGTGTGTATTTTATATTGAAAATGCCCTTTGGCGTGTATTTTGTAAACAAAATAAAATAACAACGTCTAACCATACCGAATTGATTCCCGGTTGTTCTATATAGTTTAGGTAACATGCGAATTGGTTATGTTGAACTGTAATAGTTTTATAATATTATAAAATAAAAAAATAACAAATTACACGCTAAAGTTCAAATTTTTTCTCAATAAAGACATGGTCACGGGTTGAATACCCTTGCTTGAGTGTTTAATTTCGGAAATCCGACTTTGAGGTGCACGCGGACCCGTTTGTTCACTTCCTTACATAAAGTATAGATTGGCAGAACTCTCGGTACGTGAGGTAAAATCGCATTTAAATAATAAATATTGTTATTTAATAGCCAGTATATGTTTGAACGGGAAACTTAATTTTGACGATACGCCGCGCGGCGCGGATCATCGAATATTTCGGTTACTTTGGGAAATAATCGAATTGTTTAAAATATATTTTATTACGATGCCCGTGAAGTTTTTACATAGTTTTATAACGGTCCGATTTCTGGTGGCGATGATTATAAAATTCCATTCATTGTTTTTTATGCGAAAAAAAAAATGTATAGAACATTATGAACATTGAATAAACCGTTTTATATTATGATAAAACACTATATAAATAACGAACAATAAGACTATATTACAACACGGATTATTTTCCGTACCTGCGCCATAACAACGGGCGCCTCTGTATATTTTATTATTTTAGTTTTGATCAGAGCAAAACGACGTGTTTTCATCGAATTGCACAAAAATAATACGGTGTACCTATACGTATAAAAATGTGTAATCTATAATATGATACGTTCAATCATTCGTTTGATACACGTAAACCATTTGGCTTAATTGTATAAATATACCTGTATTATGTACACGTGTTTATACAAAAAACCTATGGTATTATAATAAAGATTATACGAGAACAAATATTATATAATATTTTATTATTATTATTATATTATGTATAAAAAAAAAATGTAGACGTTCCGACGGTGGTTAAATGAAAGCAAATATATTATAATATAAATGAACACATTCAATAGCCACCGAACTGGACCATGAACCAGACATTGTCCGCCGTGTATATATCATTATCACTATAGGGCTGTGAATTCGTATACAGGAAAGTGCATTTGTTTCAGCTGATTGCGAAACGTAGCTTTCTAAATACATAATTTGAATTATGTGACAACAAATTTATTTATGAAACTTTTATCTTGCATTTTTTTCCGTTTTTAATTTTTAATGTCATTTGTTGGACTTTTAAAGTCATATTTTCCGGAATTTTCAATCAAATTCCGTCAATTAACATTTTTGCACACATATGTTTTGTTTTACACAGGCTGTATACACGTAAAATTTATATTTGAGACTTGAGAGAATGTTCTATTGCATTTTTAATATGTTTTGTGCATTTTTAAAGTTTTTCACTGCATTAAATTCACAGCCCTAATTATCACATACTTATTTCTGATATTTATACCGAGTGCTCTATACTCTTTATGATTAATTTCCCTCTCTTTTATTCTAATTACCATAATAATATTCTAACCGCTAAAAGTTCTGAAGAGGACGCGCTACCCGTTCATTTGTTGTCTCCGTCTTACCGAGACATAACAAATTTGCGTTATTTTTTAAATTTCTATATAGGCATGCTTAAGTTTTCATATTTTACAAGCTTATTATTGCTGTTCCTGAACAATTTCAAAAAGTGGAGGAGTGGAGTTCTCTGGTAGTTATTCTGAGGTCTCTAATTATTGTTATTATACCTTTGTATGCACTCAAATATTATTATTTATTTATTTTTTTTTATTTAAATACGGACCGAGTCCAATTACAAGGCTATGAGTTAATTAATTAATCACTTAACATACAGAGTATGACAAATAATATTAGCAACAATATTATGACTTAGATAAGACTATAAGGTAAAGAGAAAGTAGAGTCAAGGTCGGAGGAACCTTCTCTGGACACGCTCAATCATGATAACAGCGACATACGTACTCGGGTCTCAGATGACTAAATCATATTCCAGGTTGGGACGTATAACAGTACAGAAGAGGGATTTGAGAGGGGCAAGAAAGCGAAAATCACGGGAGATACGGTTGACAAAGCCGAGTAATTTCAGGGTCTTAAAGCAGGCTTCTTGAATATGAAGCAATGAGCAGAGGTTACTGGAGAATATAAACACAAAATATGGCGGATGAAAAATGATTTTGATAAATCTGAAATTGGTTTATCAATTGTATATTAATTTATTACAATTACCCACATTTATTAAAATGTTAACATGCATGTTATCATGGTAGGTGCATATCCATAATAGATTAAACATTTTTCATTAAGGTTTTTTTCGTAAATAACACTGGAATTTAAATTATATATTTTAATAAACTATAGTTGAAAAGCTGTGCATTTTACACATAGTGTATTATATTATAAATCATGGAAAAGAATACTCTTTTTATTTTTTTTTTCGGAAAATATAAAAAAATTGTCAAATAATTTTTAAAAATATTCGCCCTGTGCAGGTCACTTTAATAATTAAATTATAACCATTTAAAAAATATGTTATTAAAAATATGAGTTGTAACCATGAGCTATTTATTTTAGTTTATTTTTAAATTTAATTAAATATATTTGGTAAATAAAAAAAACATTTCAAACTGGCCGCAGATCTACTATTATATATTACATGTAAAAAAAGAATATAGTTTTATAGTTGTCAACTATATATCACTGGTTCCGTGGAAACAATGGCTTAAGACAAGTTCACAAAAACATTTTTAAAAACTACAGTAGGGAAAAAATAACGGAAATTATGAACAAAATTTACGCGAGAAAATAATTTAAAAAAAATTGCAAAACTTCAACTTAAGCACTTCTGTTTTGGAACCAAAGATAGTTGTAGGTATAATAGTATACTGTATGTTTGTATACTACAAAAAATGTAGTGATATAAGATAGGTATTGGTATAGCTACGTGTAATATATGTAATTATATCGTTCACTTAAAAATATATTATAATTTTTTTTAAACTGGTATATATTATATATATTATATATGTATTGGTTAAAATTATAATACATATATCGTCTCCTTCACATAAAAATTAATTAAGTGTAAAAAAAAAAAAAAAAAAGAAGGTTTAAATGAGTTATTTCATCTCTATATAATATGGACGAAATAAATGTGCAAGTGATACATCGTTTGGAAACCACTTGACACCTAATTCACGGTTAAATCCAAAATTGAATAAAATGTAAAAATCAATATATTTTTAAAACGTTTAAATCATTTAGTCACTTTCTGCACGACGGCGACGATATATTTTGTAAATTAATATAGGTATGTTCAGTCCTTAGATCTTAGTACCTACAAATATATGTTTTCGGCTAAATTATAAAATCAAAGTAAACACAATTTACGATCAACAGTATTACATAAAATCATACGTATAGGGCATAGCTGCAGATATCGGTATAACAAAGTTTTAGTATTTATCGATTGAAACAATTTTTATTAGTTTTACTTATGATGTAGTGTTTTAGATTCGGAGCGTAGCGAGGAATGTATTGGTTTCACAATGATATTTTTTTTTTTTTTATCTGTGAACAACTTTTCTACCAGATATCTTGCTCCGATTTTCAAGTGCAGTACCTTTTTTGAAAATTAAATTCCCCACTATATGTGGTTTGAATAAATAAGATTAGAATCTAAGCGTTATTTTTAAATCACGTATATTTAAATAGTTAATCGAATTTTTGATTTTTTTTTTTTATATTTTTCATGTGTGATTACAACAATTTTGTTGGATTTGTATAAACACTACAAAATTGTATGCATTGAGTTTATCATACGTTTTATTAAGTAGTGAAAAAAAGTTAAGCCTCATGTTATAATTTATTTTTAAAAGTGTTTTAAGTTTTAATATGTTATTAATTAACCGTTAAATCCATGAATAATAATTGTAGTTTGTTGATTACTTTTGTTTTTACATTTGTTTGATTCTGTAAATTAATAACTGCAATAAACACGTGTATTTAAACCCACGCGTGTGGGTAGGTGTACAATGTACATTATGGACACGAAACATTTTGATCGAATTATGAGTTTTCCGACGATAATAGCACTGCAGACGTAATTCTTTTTTAATGTAAATTAATCAAAAAAATGTCTAACCTAACTTTACTTAGAAGTTAAAATCGTTTTATGTTTGTATTTTTCAATTATAATAGTGGCTACGAATCTTTTGTGAAGTCAGCTGTAATATATTCATTAGTTAGGTAATAAACTTACCAGGTAGGTACTTACACTTATACTTATACTATGCATAGTACTTAAATTGTATAATTTATCTATAAATGTATGAAATCATAAGACACAAATACTTGTGGAAAAATATTACGTTTACCGTAGAGATCATTATAATATTAGGTATATTTTTATATTATTCTGTCAAATGCAATGTAGGCATTTACATATTTTTATAGGCTAACAAATATTAATTAAAAATAGAACTTATATGTTTTAGTATCAATAGTAGATAAAATCTGTCCAACTATCTACAATACTAAAAAGATCTTAAAAAAAATAATCTAGCCTGTGATGTAGTTTTAGTAACATCATTGCTGTTTGGCGTGTTAATAACTAATAATAATAATAAGACAATGAATAATATATAAGTTATTTATTTCATAGAGCTTGTTAGTTGTTGCAGGATGTACAACAATTTTTATCATGTAAACATTAAACTTACACACCCGGTGATTTTCCCGATTTTATTTATTAATTATTTGTTAGAAAAAATATTAAAAAAATAGCGAATACATTAAATTGACTATTCTGTTTTATTCTGCAAGTCTTGTCTCTCTTGCGCAAAGTCTCTCGAAGCGTTTGCCATCCTGTGTGCCTGCTCCACTTTGTCGGCCTGGTCTTTCAAATCCAACTCCTTGTACTTACCATTGTAATACGGAAGGTACTGCAATACGGCACGCCACTCCGTAACGTAACATAACAGTACGAAACCTGCCACGCCGTATGCTAATCCGGTCACGCCCCTAAACAGAAATTCATTGTGAAATACAATAACTGATATCGCCAATCTTGAGGATTTCATAAGTAATTATTTATCGACTTTTTACATTTTGTAAACGGTATAGTATTGTAGTACTATTATACTAGGTTTCCCGATCGGTGCGACTAGTCCGTATATTTATAATATACGATCCGTATGTCTAAATTTCTAAAAGGTTCGGGAACATTACTTATTAAGTGACAGGAGGCCATGCTTGTAGTATTATGAAATAATGGTAATCGATCAAAACCATAACATAAAAGTATAAACTTTTCATTTTTTTATTAGAGCTTTTAGAAAAACTATTAACTCGACGATCAAATACATTTGAGTTCAGACATAGCTAAAAAACAATGGTATATAGAAATAAACAATTACAAACCTTTAAATAAGAAAGCCAACCTCGTGGATGAAGGAAATAATAAGAAGAATATCAGACTTGCAATATGATTTTAGAATGTCGGAGACATTAAAAGGGATATTAAGGGAAATAAGAGAATTAAATAGAATAAGGCGTTAAGCAGATAAAGGGTGGACCGTCGAAAAGAATATAGGGTAAGTCGCAGATGCTTTCATCTAAACGAAGTGTGCATAAAGTGTGCTATCGTTGAGTTTTATCTTATAAGAATGGAAGGGAAGGAGATGATGGCCCATGCGTCATCGATTAAATTTAATTATTTGAAATCTTGATAGAACGTATAAACTTATTAAACGAATTAAAGATTTAAAATAGCCGAGTGCAGATATAATGTCACACCAGAGCAACATATTATCTATAATTTTAATTTTACAACGTATATTTTTCAATATTTGTTGTCTGTAAACGATTTTTTTACTAGAAATCTTGATCCGATCATTTCCGAAAGCAAATTAGATTTTTCACGACATTTAAAGAGTATCTTATGGCCTTACAAACTTGTTTTTCAATCGAGAATCTGTAGAAAAAAAATTCCATAAATAGACGGAGAATTACTTTAAATAAATTTTGGTGTCATAATTTTTGATTTCCGTCCACCCGTTAACGAGATATTCCATTTCTTAGTTTAGGTTGGAGGAGTAGTGGAACACAAATAAAACGCTGCACGCAGTGCCGCCACACAACGGATAGGCGGAAATCAAAAATGTTGACATTAAAATTTATTTGAAGTAATACTCCTTCTATTTACGGAATTCTCAATACATGTTCTCGTTTGAAAAACTAAAGTTGGTATCGTCACAGGATGTTCCTTAAAAATCTAAGTATTCGAACATATAGTGTAGTTAAACACTTAAAAATTCCAAAATTCCAAATTTGAAGATGTGCAAAATTTAACGGAAAAAAAAAATGTTTGGTTTAATATTGTAGAAAAAAAATAACACGAATATTACGAATTTACCAGAAATCATTCACTGTGAACACGTGCGCATTATAATTGTTTTGACCTATTGATTATTGTTATAATCATAAAGATATTTATAACTTTAATACGACGATAAGACTGTATTATTGTTATGAGTGGTGACAGTTATAACAGTGGTGTATTATAATTTATAATATAATTGTTATTTTTTTATTAATATTAAACCGAAACGTGATACGATTATACGAATAGAAAGATAATGACATACTTTTAAATACATTCGATTAGGTCGTTCGAACAAAAATTAACGCATTTAGTTGCATTACGTTAAACCTAAAACGGACAAATGTTGCCGTGTATTATAATATATGGCCGCCGTCGCGCCGAACGAATCCGTGACGTCCCGCGCACAATATTGAAAATCACCGTAACCACCGAACGGATAGTCTCGAAACGAATTTTGGTGTATCATTTTTTCCGTCATAGGAAAAATAATTCAAGTACTATAATTCAAGCCGAAGAAGAATTGTCGAGTTGGTTGGTCCTTTAAAATGTTATACATTACAAATTCCGAGATGATATGTCAATACTTTCCGAGATAATTGACTGTACCCGTTTAAACGGAACACCCTGTACAGTTCCCGGCATAAATCATAATCCGAACGCAATAGTCCTCCCAGATGTAACTCGAGGGGGAAATTACGGCCCTCTGAACTTACTCCAGTCGGTCTTATTGAATTCATTTCTTACACATTTACTCATAGCAGAACGATATGCAGACAAAAATCAAATAACAAACAATAATAATGTTATAAACGAAAATCTAGAATTTCAGGTGGTTACATGAGCAAACAAAAGTTTTTCTTTTTAAAAGTCAGTCAGCTAAACGACCTTGGCTGAAAATATATCGTCTTTACTACGCCTCTGATTTTATCATTGTTTTTAAATCATTTAAAATTATAATACTATAGGTAGGAATAATATGCCAAATATTAATAAGTGTAGCATAGTATAGTAGTAGGTAGGTATTATTATTAAAAATATGTTTAATGTGTCTTTGAGTTAAATTTTTAAACGGAATAGAACAAACGTTTTTGTTTTCGTTCTTGTAAAAGACGAATACAAATTTAAAATTACAAAGTTCGCTTGTAATTCAAACGGTTACTATTTTCTTTTTTTTATTACGACGTGGGTGTAGCCGCGTTGCTTCCAAAACACTATTGTTTTTGATACACTTACCTAGTTACGGGTACGGGTTTATGACTTGATAAATAATACGCGACGATTTCGACATCCTACCCGATAAGGTAAATCTATTATTGATAAGTACGCGCATCTACAGACAAAATGTACATTGCGCAGCAAAACGACGAATACGATATTTTGTTTTCCGGCGCCGTTGAATCGCGTTTAATACGACCGGCAAACGCCCGTTTTCCGAACACCGCGTCGTTCGGTATCCGGCGACGTCCGTGTCTCTATTGCATTTATATATTTAGTTATACACTGTCTACAGCCATTGTCATTGTTCTCGATCGCCGTCCGGCTTTGGCCCGCGGTGTGATATCGTGTTGGTAACGGACGATTTATGCGCTTTTTCAAGTACGTAACCGTTCTCTCTCCCCGGTGTGGTGTTCGGTTCTCAACCGACAACACCGCACACGTCGGTTAACCTAACCTGACCCGACGCGAGAATAAAAAATCGGACATTCTTCAAACGGGTGAAACGGAAACACGAATACCGGATACCTACTCGTCGCAACTACCCGTCGTACTTGTGTTTACCGTGTCTATTGTTACTATTATTATTATTATTATTATAACATTATAACGACGCCTCACCGTGTTTTCAACGCTGTTGTCGTCTTGTACAACGCCGGCATTGTTTTTTTCGACGACGGCGTTAACGGCACGGATCCTTTGTTCACGATCGACACGATTTTGGCGTACATGACGATCGAACGACAATCGGAACAATTGTGTTGGTGTTGACGAGACGAAAACGCGCGTAGACCGTAATGTAGTGCAGCGGAGTCGAGTCGTCACGTCCTATCGACGATTGAAATAATTAATTCGTAAACAACGCCAACAATAATAGTTACGAGTGGTAATTGCGGTACAACGACCGCGGAGCGATTGTGGACCGTGAACAAAACGGTATACCGCGTATTATCGCGTATACCGCACGTAGGGTTGTCCAAAATATCTCGACCGAGCGGCCGTAGCCCGCGAGCAGGCGGCCGAGGGTCTTTCTCCTCCACGGTTTTTCCTCCTGGAATAACGTAATGCGCGCAGCGTTAAACGACATTTTGTTCCACATTGGTTGCGTTGCGCGTCATCCGATTATTACGAATCACATTTCTATTATTATGCTGTTCGCGTCCCGCCGCAGCCGCGCAGTACTAATGACATGAATTATTATTGCCGACAAAACGAAAATGCTGATTACGGACGCCTAACAATACGATACCGTCGATAATTATTTACAGGGAAAACAAAAGGACGTTACGTACCCGCGTGATAATATTTCGTAATTACGAGTGGGTATAGGAGTTTTCAGCCGCAGGGGAGGCGATTGGTCCCTCCGTGAACATTTTTTTTGTTTTTCGTGTGTCGATTCCATTAAGGACTGCACTCTGCCGTCTCTTTGTTTATTGACGGACAATCGTACAAACGGGCACGTACACAAAAAAAAAAAAAAATTCGAGGAGGGGTCAACCCATAAAATCCCCTACATACCGGCTGATTTTTTTGTCGTTTAAAAACGTATTGGCTTTTTTCAAAATTTTAGTTACATACTTTCATACAATTGTGTAAATCTTTTATTTTGTTCACCCTTATACGTATTCAATACTCAAACTACGATCAATTCTTGATTTTCAAATAGCCACGTAAGTAGTAGGAAAAGGGTGGTTCTGCTCGAGGAGCAGGAGCAAGGAGCAAGAAGCAAGGTGCAATGAGCCCAGGTGCTATACCTATTACATTTGCGCCCATCCTGATGCAAGATGCCCATCATTTTTCCAAAATAATTATTTCCTATAATATTATCGTCGGCTACTTAGACGGTATATTTTTCCCCAACCCTTTTTTACAAAAGTATTTTTATTTTTATTTTCTTACACGCACCACGTACTCGACCTATTTTGACCGCGCCCCCTTTATACAAATGTTTTTTACACATTATCGAATACTTACTTGACTTATCTATACCTGTTTCGTTATCATATACCTACATCGTTATCATATATTCACGGTATCTCTCTTAACTATACCTACTGTCATCAAATCGTTATCATATACCTGCGATTATTATTTTATAAGTGTTATGATATTTTTCGTCTCCGGGCGCGCGCGAGCTCGCTTTACCCCCCGCCGACATTCTATCCATACCCACTGTTAAATATTATCTATACAACAAAATATTATCATGCACGTTATCACAAAAACGAAATGGTTATTAGCAACGTCTGTACATTCCTGCAAGAGCTAATGTTACCGTACCCGTCGTATAACCTAAACCATCCCGCACTATCCCGTACGCCCTTTTCGTCTACACCGTAATTATAAGTACCTATACAAAAATATTACACATATCTTCATAGATATTACATAATCGTCGTCGTCTTCCCGTTATGTTAGATTTTTGTCAACGACAATACAATTGTTATGGCCATTGGTATCATCGACCAACAGGTACACTAACGATAACAACACAATTGTTAATTACACACACACACACACACACACATCCATAAGTGCATATACATACGCACACATACCCACTGCTCCGGCTAACTACATACACACTTACGCACACACACATACACATACATACCTACGATCGCCCCCGGAAATAATATTTTCGATGATAATAATAGTACCGACCAGTGTATTTTTAAGCGAATAATACATTGGACTCCGATAACAATATTTTCTATCACCGTTTTTAATATTATTTAAATTTAACACGATTCACCGTACGACAAATAGATAACATAATTATTACAGTACCTATATGTAAAACCAATAATATTATATCACCATTTTTAATACTATGTATCGATACATCGTAAGGCACATTACTTATGCTCACCACACATAGAAAAGGTACAAGTATTTTTTATAGCAATGAAATATAATCAGCGGTGTCACCGTTATCGTGCACACATGCAGGTGATGATTTTTCGTTTTACTATTCTGCGGTCGCCCGCGCGTTCGCGTTACCCCGCATACCATTTGACTACTATCGGTTAAGAAGGTAAGCCGCATCGCACGGATAAGAAGGTAAAGTGCCTCCCTACCCCCGATTTCCTTTCAGAAAAGGTGCTACACTTAAAATCTAAGCAAGTGTTCTGGCAGAAAAGTTGCACACAGATAAGAAAAATAAAAATAAATAATAAGCATCGTTGTAAAACCATACGATTCTCCGCTCCACTCAGAATTTAAAATTATACATTTTGGAGTTGAAATTTTCCGTCAACCCATTTACGAGATATTCCATTTTTAAGTGTTTGTGTAAGGGGAGAGTAGGTAGAGGAGCATTATTCAAACGCGGCGCGCCGTGCCACCTCATAAATGACGCTCCGTTACTCCCTCCCTACCCAAAACTTAAAAGTGGAGTATCTCGTCAACGGGTCGATGGAAATCATAAATTTAAACATAAAAAGTTTTTTAAACTAATATTCCGTCAAAGTTTGCCGTTTGAAAATCAAAAGTACTCAGGTGTAGGTAGACGGTTAACTCCCAATAATGAGGTTAACAAAAACGAACGGTAACGTGGCTTTTTAGAGCTACTCGTGTCTTAAATTTTAGCAAAAAAATTCCGGAAAAATTTAATACGTACTTTCCAAGAAATCGATCATAATATATTCGTGGAACACCCTGTACAGAATGCAGCCGTCATACGAGGTCATACTTGTAGGTATATCGTCGTATTGACTGAGGACAATTGCGCTTTTCAAGAATTAAAAATTAATATATTGAACAATTTTTCGGGAATTTTTTTACACGGTGCATAACTATAAAATATATTGTGTATTGTAATATTGTATTTTTCGCGTTTGTGTAGGCGGCTGCTATATTTATATTCGTAAAATGTTTCATTAGTATAATATTTTCCCCTAAAACTACCGACAGACGTTTTATATATATATATTTTTTTTTTCGTATTTTTATTTGACGCAGTTATTTCTTTTGCAGTATGTTACGTATATTTCAATAATTTTTCACGGTAAATTCACATGTAACTATACAATATAACATTTTATATACGCGTGTAGTGTCTTGCGTAGGAGTTTTAATTAAGTCAAATCATTAATCACGCAATGGCCCGAGCGAAAAGAGGGTAAAAGTCGAAATGTTTCTGCGTACGGAAGTGAAAAATCCAGAAAGAAAAATTACGGCCGTTTCTTATACACAACCATATAAGCGAGTGCGCGCACACATACACACGCCGTGCGCGCGCACACACACAAACACACACACACACCAGCGCACACAAACACAGATTGCTCAGGGACAGTATAATAAGTTACATTTTGAGGACCGGGGGGCGGCCGGGAAGAGTAAAAACGACAGGAGAAAAATACGTGCGACCCGTAAATATGACCGTCGTCCCGAGATTTAATAATAGTTTTCTTTAAAAATGTATAATATACAGAACGAAGCGTGCGCGGTTTGGCAAACATGTTAATGGGTACCTATTCCTATACGCGTTTACAATAATAAAATATAAGAATATTGTACAATATTGTACGGTGCACAATATAATATAGCGGGTAAATTAAACGAGACGCTCGTATTGTACCGCCGGTTATATACGATATTGAAACACTAACATTAACATTCCGTCGGTGCCTTTGCAGATAGGCATCATAGTGTAGGTAACAACATATTCTATAGAAATTATAGCTACGCACAGAATAATATTATTATATACTCCGGTGGTTTATTGTTAATATTCAAACGGAACATGTTGTCGATAATGTTCATTAGGTTTATGCAACGAAACTGCCGTTTCGTCCGTTAACATAAAATCTTCACTACGTTATATATTTATTTTTTTTTTTTTTGTATTTTTATGCAGTGCTCGAATTGGAAAAATAATAAAAGAAGAGAGACTACGAGAGAGTTGCAAACAGATGAGCGTACCTTGTAGTTATTGAAAACTCGATCTATCCCGCGGGATGCTTTGTTCCATCTCCCCCTCCCACACTTCTCGAACAAATTTTCAAACGCGATTCGGTAAATACTTATTTCCGAAAACAAAAACTAATTACGTCATTATGTACCGCAGGCTAACTTTTCGCTTACATAATAGATAATATTTATTTTAGATTATACCGTGACGATTACCACTATGAGTCTATAATGAGATATTATATTTTTGTTCTTTTTCCCGTACGTGAACATTTTTACGGGGAAACCGTAGAAAAAACGTCAAGAAAATTTTTAATATTGTTACTTTTACACACAGTAACGGTTCCTGTTATATTCAATTTTTGTATTCAGTGACAGTAATTGTGAAATGAAATTTCACTAAATACCTATATATAGGTATTATACTAATGAAACGTTTTTCGTTATTAATATTAGATTTAAGTTTATTAAAATTTAAGAGTTGAGTTGTATGGAATAGGGATACTAATTTCGTTTTAGTCGTTTTATAGCCAGTGATTTAATGGATTTACTATGAAGTGTGCTTTATTAAAATTTTTCTGTTTGTAAACAGCATTTCGAAAAGAAATTGCTTCGATGTATTATAAAGTATAGTACCTTTCCTGAAAGGAAATTTTGTTTAGTTGGTATATTAAAGAGGTCAAACGAATTTGTCTTCCTAAAATATCGCTATACTCCCGGTCACTTTCTCCGATCGATTCTTGAAACAATTTGACTAAAATCGTCCTATTTCGCATAATTTTCATATTTTAAACGAGGCCTCCTAACGGCGTTTTTCCTGTAAAAAAAAGGGTCTTCTTCAGTCAGGAACTGCTCTTATTATCATAGAACCATGTTTCCGTTAGGTACCCCCGAATAATGTGGCCCCACGTGTAAAGGTGAATGTCGATCCCCGCGATAGTTTACCCGCTTCCCAGACATTATTGACGACTGGTCGATAAACACACAGT